AAAATTCGCTTTAAATAAATTTAAAAACAGTTTAGATCAAATTTGAAATATATATTCGATTAAATTAACATAATTACAATAAAAAAAATTAGCTGCAAATAAATTTATAACCAAATGTAACAAAATATCGAATGGAAAAATGTGGACAGATGGGTCGTTTACATTAGAATAACACTCATTTATTCGTTTAAATTTTTAATTATATTCGTTCGAAAAGAAAATGAAAATAAAAGAAACTTACAATTAGATGAGGCATTGATGAGGAATAGAAGAGAGAGGGAGAAGGAGAGGGAGAGAGGGACAGGGAGGGAGAGGAGAGAGGAGGAAGAAATGATCGATGCAAGAAAGAAATGTTTTGATCAAATTTTGAGGACAAACATTTTCGCGGCTAATTGATACTTACTTTTTTCTCTTTTCTTTCTTTTTTGTTCATCAAAAGAATTCTGCTGGAATTTCTTTAATTGCTACATTTTATTGTACTAAAAATTTTGAAATTTTTCATTTTTGCACAAAGTGGAAAAACCAAAAAAAAAAAAAAAAATCAAAAAACGCATTTTTCAAATTTTATTTGAATTTAGAAAAAATTATATGAGAGAAAAAAAAAGAATAAAATTAAATGCATTGAATATTCAAAGTAAAATTTAAAAAAAAAAAAAAAAGCTTTTATTAGAAATTTTTGGAAATATTATTTTTGTTGTTATATACTATCATAAGTAATTAACTAGTAAAAAGCTGTGGCAATTTGTGACCAATATTTAATTGTTTCTCGCAAAATTGTAGCATATAAAATTAAGAAATGAAATAAATTTGAAATAAAATTGAAAGAATTGGAAATGAATTCGAATAATATTAATGTAAACGGGTAGATTTAAAAATTTTAATTATTTCAGAAGGAAAAGAATTTATTATAATATCAGTGATGCTAAACATGCAAAAAATTAAAAAATACTTCTAAAAAAGTCCAAAAAAAAATCAATTTGTCCTATGATAAGTTAAAGACATTTTTTTAATGAATTTACAAAATAATATTTCGCACTTTTTCATAAAAAAACCAAGGAATAAAAAATAGAAAATTCCAAAAAATTGATTCAAAATTAATCAGAAATGATCTTTTTATTATTGTATATATTTTTTTTAAATAAATTTTCGTTATTTTCATTACTATTTTGATTGAAAATTTTATTTGGTCAAAAAAACATTTAATTTCGATTTATTGAAATATCATTTTTCTGCATTCGATCTTCTTTCTTTTTCATTCTATTTTATTCAGCAATAAAAGATTAATATAAATACAATTTATTCATTTGTGGAAAATTTGAAACGACGAAAAAAGTTAGTTAGCGACCATTGAGCGATGCACTGATGACACAACGTTTGTTGACTTTAGTACATTGTACTAATTATTCAGATTTTAATTTGTGATAAATATTTGAAATGATAAATTGTTAAATAACAAATCTTACGGTATAATCAACATTCCAACTTTTTAACCTAAATTTTCTATTTGTATTGATTTAGTCAATTGACATTAGATCAAAACATTGTGTGTCACTCAGTGATATATTTTGTCACTTTGTTGATGGTTAAACTTCACCTGCAGTCACATTTCAGAAATTTGTTTAAAAGATAAAAAAGAATGGACCGAATTACTTCTTTATCATATTTTTGAAAAATAATACACTTTCTAATTAAGTTTAATTATTTATTTAAACATTTCACTCAACCTTTTGCACAGTTTTAAAATTTAAAAAGATAAGAAGTTATCTTATCAATGATAAGCACAGAAGAATCAAATGCTTTCAAAATGCTAAAAATACTAATATAATGAAAGATATGCGATGAAAAAAATGTAACAAAAAGTATGAAATGCATCAAATAAAAAAAAAAGAAAATCATTAGGTAATTGAAGGTAAAGTGTTAACATTATAATAGGAGCATGCAGACATGCACTAAATGCATGTTGCATGACAGCATGCATTTCAGGAATTTGATCAAATATCGAAGGTTGATTTTAAGGGATTCAGACTTTAGCTTTCCGACAAAAAAAAAGTTTCTGAATCGAAAAGGCAACATCTCCATCGATTTCAAACCATTTAAAATTATTAATAAGTAACAAACATTTTGTTGTTATCATTATTATTTAATTACTTAGCTAATTACTAGCTGTTAAGCTTTTGACAAATTTATTTTTAGGTTCGAAAGCAGCAACAGTTAATACTTGAATACTTATAATAACTGTTAATAATAACTTAGAGATGGAAAGTCTTTAAGCTTTTCTTTCACATTGAAAAAAATTTGAAACTTTAGAAATGAGAAAATTTCAGAAACTGAATTTTTGTTGGATAGAAATGAAAAAAAAAAATTGTTGTATTTTCTTACTGCGAAAAGTTCATGTGACACTTTAGACTTAAATATTCAATTTCAATGAATAAAGAATTTATTTCCATAGAAAAAAACAAATATTCCATTCGATTGTCAATTATAAATGCGAAATTTTGTCAACAAATAAGGTTAGCAATGAAAATTAATTTCATTTTTTTTTTTTTTTTTAAATCAAAAAATGCCACTATGAATTTTTTAGTTTGAAAATCAACAAAAAATTTTGGATTTTCGCACAAACTATTAAATTTTTATAAATCAAAATTGCATTGAGAAAGAATTAAAATTTTTACTGACATTTGAATGTAAAAGTGATAAATATGTGATTAAATTCTACAATATGTGGGCAGTTAATCCACAAAATTAATTATAGATAATATTCTCAAACAATGATTTCGTGTTAGTTCATTAGAAAATTTCAAATCTTACAAATATACTATAATTTATATTGGTATAACTAAATGATTAATAATGAATGAAATTAAATGCAAAGGATGAAAAAGGGAGAAAATATTTGGCGTCGATCATTTTTAGTTGTCAAATTTGCTCTTTAAAACAAATTAACGAATTAGTATTAATGAATCTCGAATCTTAGGAAATAATTCTCGAATAACAGTGCGAGTGATGTTTAAAACTGATAATTATCTTAAAGAAATGAATTTAAATGTATCGAGGTGATACTTTAAATTTAAGTGTGACCTGTAACGATACAGATTCCATTCAGCAATTATTTAGAACAAAACTCTCGAGAAAATGGTAGTAGTCTCGGAAATAAGTTTTAATAAAATAGAATGATATGGCGAAGTAAAAAATCAAAACAGGCCTTGGATGACCTTCAAAAGGAACATGTTTTCTAGATGAAATCTTCAAATGGATGATTTCAAAGTGTAAAAAGAGAGAGAAAAAAAAAGGACTGCAAAATTTTAAAGGAAAATTTTCATTTGTGAATATTTAAATGTGATAAAAAGAAAATTTTGGTAATAAGTTGAAAAAAAAGACAAAAAATATTAAAACATTTTGTTTAGAATTTTTTCAACACAGAAAAATTTTAATTTGAAACAGCTTTTTTAATACATAATATCAATCTATTCAACTACGTTTACTTGATTTTAGTTTAATTGTTTACCTTCATTCTATCATATATTTCAGTACTATAAGAAAGTAAATACAAAATTAATCGAAAAAAAAGAGAGCAAAAATTGAGTGGAATCATCGGATACAACAGTAAATAACGGCGACAAACGCGTGCTCTCATTATTTTAGCGACATATTGCGATGACCTCGGACCTGTCACATCGTCTGCCATTGTTGTGAGATCAAAGTGTCATGCCGGAAAAGCAAGCACAAGGATGTTAAGAGGGGACAGTGACAATAATGGTTGTCGCATGTGCATAGTAATAGCAAATGATACTAGCATACCGATTAAGTTAAGTAATTAAAAGTAATTAAATTTATTGATAGAAAGTTTTTCTATTTCACTCTACTTTTTAAGAGCTTTTCGAATATAAATTGACAATTTTGATTATTGTTAATAGTTTCATATTAAATGCAACCTTTTTTTTCCATGTCTTTTGTGAGAAATGTTTATTAGTTATAGATAATATAGTATACAAATAATTTTATGGAATAAGTATAGTGTATGATAATAATTTATTTTTCTTAAAAAAAGTTTAATTGAAAAGTACACCGTAAAACATTTAAAAAAACACATTTTAAATTGAAGGACAGTGAAAAGAAAATGAAGGAAAAGAATTTTTCTCTTTTTTTAGTTTTATTATCATTCAACTTTTCAACAAGGTTATATGTTACAAGCAAAAATTTTTCTTTTTTTAATTTGATTCTTCAACGATCATAGCTTTGCATCATGAAAATTCAAGCGAAATATATCAAAGTGCTATCTACCATTCATTCAAATTCTATTCAAATGGAAATTTTAAAAATTGACATAAATAATTCTTTTTACTCATTTGGGTACAAAGAAAAATGGCGCTTAAATTCTTAATATAATCTTTTCCATCTACTAAAACTGCTAATTTTTCTAACAAATAACTTGCCAAGCTATTAAATAAATTTTTCATGTTGAAGAGAAAATATATGAAATGGACTTTGTATTTGAATTCAAGAATCAAGTGTCTTAAAACACTATAATTTAACAATCATTGTAGATAAATTTGAAATTCGCGAAGTAAAGTTAATTAAATGGTACAAAATTAGAAGTGCACAATTTTTTAGTGGCTAAATTTAATTAAGTACCTATTGGAGATAATATCAAAAAGTAAAGATGAGTTTTCGTTATGCTTACAAATTGCAAAAGAAACTTCAAAACTTGCAAAGCTTCTCGATCGTTGGTCCTTCACTCGTCAAATTGTCGTGTGAAAGTATTTTACACAAGTAATACTTATGTAATGGTAAACGAGTAACTCACTAGTAACCTATTATTATCATTTTTTTACATTATTTTAGAACAAAAACCAAATTTTAAAATTCCTTCGCTTAAATTTTAAAAAGTAATTTCAGGTTAGTTAAAAGCATGAAAATCCATTCATTTTATGTTTAATCTTAACAAAAAAGCACATTCCATTGATTGGTGGATCACGCTGACCGCGAGTTCATCATCATCATCAATATCGTACATTCTTATCATCATCATCATCATCATTATCGTCATTATCATCATCATCATCATCAGTATCACTATCATCATTAAAATCATCATCATCGACGACAACAACGACATTCAACAACAGGACAACACGGCTACAGTTTATGAATGATAACAGATCAACCACTGCAGCGATCACGTCGCTTTCCCGCAGAAATTACAACTTCCCAATGGATGGGTGTTTCGTCGTCGTTACACATTCATTCATTTCATCGATTTTTATTTTTATAAGGCATGGAATCGTCTGTTCAGTTTAAAATATTTTTATTCATTCTTTATTTTTTTGCCATAATTATTATTTCCTGAATTTTTACATCTTAAATGATCTGCGATTTAAATAATTAATCATATTTTTTTGGGATTAAAATGTTAGTCGTAGATTCATCAAATTATTTTTCGCCTATAAAAGTATTTTACTAGAGTATGATGTTTCATAAAATTATTAACAAAAAACTACTATAATTTTCTATTTTAACTGATAGAGATTCCAAACAAAAAAAATATCTCCAAATAAATATAATTATAAATTTTGAAATTAATTAATAAAGTATTTTTTGTTTTCTCAAGTTTCAGTTATTGATTGATCGGTTAGTAAAACAAGCAAACAATGTCAGCGTCAAACGAAAAGCCAAAAGTTTATATTATTGGTGTTGGAATGACAAAGGTAAACTTTCTCATTGATTGATTTTACAATTGTGTTAAATTTTTTGCAATTTCATATTCTGCTACTTAAAAAAGAAGAATTAATCATTTGATAGTTTGGTGGATAGAGGAAAAATGCATATTTAGGAAATTTTAAAGAGCGTAACAGTTAAATTTAATTTGATATAAAAGAACTAAAGGAGAGAAGGTGGAAAAGAAGGAGAGAAATAAGAAAGTGTGACAGATTTGTGAACAAATTTTCAATCAATAATTAAAAATTTTATTCGAATAGTTGGTCTTAAGAATTACAATGAAATCGTAGAAAATAGTTTAATTCAGTTATTTGTTCTTTACTTACTCAATTTCTTCTTTTCTCATACTTTTGTATAGCACAATTCATAGAATTCTCTGAATTCATAATTCCTTTTGCTTTTTTAATTTTAGTTTACAAAACCAGGATCAGTACCAAACTGGGATTATCCTGATATGGTAAAGGAAGCAGGCAAGACTTTTTCTGAATTTTTAAACCTGGCTATGAAAAATGACTACGATTTCAACTTTTCCATCTCCCCTCTTTCTTTTTGAATTACATAAAAGGAGAACAAAGGAGTTTTTTTTTTTTTCTAATTTCTTTGAATCGCATTACCGTAATGTCGTATTACCGTAATCGTTACCGTATTCGTCGCTAATCGTCACAGCAGTTATTTATCATTTCGTCAAGCTAATATTATCATTGAATTTACCACATTAAGCATAAAATGTATTACAGTAAACAAAGCCTTATTGGATGCAAAACTACAGTATAGTGATGTGGAGCAAGCAGCAGTTGGCTATCTGTACGGTGGCACTTGTTGTGGACAGCGAGCACTCTACGAGATTGGACTCACCGGAATACCTATTTATAATGTTAGCTGCTTGTTTTTAATTTTAATTATTACATATCAATATCTCAGGAAAAAATTTGATTATAATAAAAATATTAGTAAATTCATATTTTGTTAAAGCTACGTTTTCATTATTTTTTAAGCCAAAGATTAATATTTAGTAGTAATTAGAAAAGAAAGTAAGAATAAATTAGTGCTATTAATTATTATAATTAGTTTCCATGAAAGCTAATTCTTTCCATTGTCAAACAAACGAGATTTGATATATTTCAGTTGAATAATGCATGCGCGAGTGGTTCAACAGCTGTTTATCTCTCAAAATTGTGTATTGAAGGAGGTACTTTTAGGAATTTAAATTTATAGCAAAAAATTGAGATAATTCTTTCGTAGAAAACTGGTTACTTTTAGGAATTAGTACAAAACACATCCTTTTAATTGTACTGATTCAATTTTATTAAACTTATTAACATAATTCTCATCACTAATATTTATGGCTAATCAGCGGATAATTTTCAAAAAATAATCTTTTCTTTTGTTTCGAGTAAATTTTGTTTATTTAAAAACTTGTTGCTTTCAAATTTATTAATTTCTAAAGTCATTCATTTATTAAATAGCACATTGAATGAATCAAAATATTTACTGCTATTAATAAGTTTGCAGGTCATTTTTACTATTCTTTTATTTATAGACTTATTCTTGATTTCCTGATTAATGATAGGTAGTAATTAATTACCTGGTCATAATAATTAGACCAACCCATATTATCCTTTCAGAATCAGTACACGCTTGTTTTCCTTTCAGGTCACGTAAATGTTGCACTTGCAGTAGGTTTTGAGAAAATGAAGAGTGGCTCACTGGAAGCAATGGAAAAGCTTGATGATCGAACACACGCACTCGAACGACATATTAACGTCATTTCTACAACACGTGGCCTGTTACCAGCACCGCTAATGGCGCAAATGTTTGCTAATGCTGGACGAGAACATATGGATAAATACGGTAGTTTCTTTAATTTATTCAGTTGTAAAAGTCATTTTTTGATGAATTTGAATAAATAAATATATTTTCCTTCCTTTTTTAAAATTTAAAAAAAGATCAAAGAATTGTTCAAAAAGGCAAAATATGAAATGGAAAGCTTTAGTACTGAAATATTTCATTTAGTTAATCGATTTTCAGTTTTACTGAAATTAATTTTTTCGTCCTTTTCAGGAACCAAACGAGAACATTTTGCTAAAATAGCTCAAAAGAACCATAAACATTCCATTAACAATCCGTAAGATTGTTTAAAATTATTTACCATTTTTTGATATCAAAGATTAGAAATGAAGGATGAGGAATCTTTTTTTTTTTAAATACTGATTTGTGTTTCATTTCAATTTTAAGTAAATAAAATGTAAAAGTCATCGAGACCTCAGAGATCATTCACGGAAAGTTGACCAATCCTCTTTTCACTTCATTGTCTTTTTTTCCAATTTGGTCCTTAATTTCCATCCAACAATTAAAATGAGAAGTTTTAAATGGATTCATTAACTTTACTGACATGAAGTATTCAGCTACTTTCTTCTTTTTTATAGAAATTCACAGATTCAAAAAGAATATAGTTCGGATGAGATTCTGAATGCACGAGTGATTCACGATTTTATGGGTCTTCTAGAATGCAGGTTAAGCTATAATTTAATAGCTAATCTGATAAAGTGATAAGCAATAACTGTTATCTCTCTTATCAGTTGAGACAATTACTATAGTAACGACTACTGTAGAAATGAAAAAGAAGAAATATGCATTAGTTGTTACAAAGTAACTATTTTGCTATGGAATTTATTATTTAGCAGCATTTAATATCTTTCGAAAAAAAAAAAAAAAAAGAGATAAAAGAACAAAAGCAGTGTTTTCTTAAAAGTAAAATTTGAAATCAAAACTTTCAGTCCGACATCGGATGGTGCAGCAGCAGTGATTTTATGCAGCGAACAATTTTTAAAGAAATCTCCACACCTTTACAAACAAGCTGTTGAAATTATTGGTGATGTTACTTTGAAATATTTCAACATTTAATAAATATAAATTAATTCAAAAGACAGAAAACGGTATTATAACAAAAGAGAAAAAACTGTTTTGTTAATTTCGGAGTGTTATCTGAAATGAGAAAATTGCATAAATATGTTATAAATTTGATAAAAATGCAATAAGATTTAACTTAAAGAATTAAAAACCAAATAAAATTTATTGGTGGGACAATTTATAATCGATTCCTTATAAGTTTGATTTTTATATAGTAAATTTATATTTTAATTTAATCCTTTCTATATTAACGTATTCAATCCAAGGAAATTATATAAAATCATCTAATTTTTCTGTATATCTAATTTAATAATTTTCTAAAAATGTGTTTTTTCATTTTAATTGTACTATAATTTTGTTGTAGATGTATTTTTGATATAATTTTTTAAGAAATAAAATATTGAATAATTTTAATACAGGTGCTGAGCTAGGCACTGATGAACCATCCGTATTTGCTGAACATTCGAGTCTAAAAATGATTGGCTTTGATATGATACGAAAATTATCAAATAGATTGTATCAGAAGACAGGTTTGACACCAAATGATGTGCAGGTATACAGTTTTTTTTTGAGAATTTTTAAATTGTTGAAGAAAATGTTTGATATCTTTGAAAAAAAGAAAAATAGAAATCATTTTAAAAATTAGCTAAAAAAGTTCGTTATGATTTATTAAACGAAATACTTACTATTTTAGATGAGAGAAATTACAGGTTATTGAGTTACACGATTGCTTTGCCCCAAATGAACTAATTTCTTATGAAGCACTTGGCCTTTGTCCTATTGGCAAGTTGTTTCAAGATTTATAGCTAGAATTTAAAATTGTTTTTATAGACCGACGGTGGAATTCTTCAAAATTGCACTTGAAATTTTAATATCATTTCGGTACGAAATTAAAAAGTTTCCTTTAGGCAAAGGCGGTGATATTGTTGATAAGGGTGATAATACATATGGTGGAAAATGGGTCATCAATCCTTCTGGTGGATTAATATCCAAGGGTCATCCAATAGGTGCAACTGGTATGATTACAAAAACAAATGAACTTTTAATTTTTTATCAGTGGAAAGATTATTTCAAATTTCATTACCAAATTTTCATTTCTCATATTTCAGGCGTAGCACAAGTCGTTGAATTGTCACTTCAACTGCGTGGCATTGCTGGCGCACGCCAAGTACCAAATTGCAAAGTTGCATTGCAGCACAACATTGGTAAGATTGATAATCATTTAGCTTAAATAAATATTTTAAATCAGGTTACTAAAATCTAATTTGAATTGTACGATGTGCAATAAAGCCAAAAAATTAGCTTATTTTCTCGAAGTTGATTGAAAGTAATTGAAAAACTATCTCTATACTACTTTTTTCTTTTATTTTTATGAGAAATTGATTCATAGAATCACATTTTATGTGTGACAAACAAAATTAAATCACAAATAATAAGTAATAAAGGAAAAGATTTGATTTCGAAAAAAAATTTATAAACTGAGAAAAGTAAATTGTAATGAATAAAAGAAAAATGAAGAAGATGGGTCAAAGAGAAATATTTATCATTAAGGAATTGGCGGAGCTGGCATGGTTGCATTGTATCGATTGGCTCAATTGTCGTCTTCAGAAAATGTGACAAATGCAAAAGTTCCAGTAAAAAAAATCTTTTTAAGTGATGCCATTTTTGATGGAATTAGAGAACGTATAAAAACGGTAAATGAATTTTTTTTTCTTTAATAAGAATTTGAAGATTTTTAACTTTGATATATGATTATAAAGATCTCAAACAAACTTGTCCTTTTAAACAAAAAAAAAAACCTGAAGTTTTCTTTCATTTCAGGAAAAAGATTTATCACAGACAATAAACAGTTCATTTAGATTTATTTTAACCGGACCGGATAATGCTGTCAAAAAATGGGTTGTTGACTGCAAGGTATTTATAAACTATTATTGCTGTTAAGTTTTTTAGTGTAATGAAGTGAATATGTGAAATTTTATGAAATAAAGTAAATATTAGGAAGAATAATTAAATATGTGTAATTAATTGTTAGGTGACACCACCAACTATTATCGAAATGGGTGAAGGTCAGGTAGATGTTGAGATGACAATGAAAGATTCCGATTTTGTGAAAATTGTTACTGGAAAATTGCGACCTGATCAGGTAAGTATGCTTATTTGTAATAGAAAAACGATTAAATGTTTATAATATGTAAATATTTACATTGAAACAGTGTACGACAATGAATATCAATCGGTAATAGTTTTATCTCAGTTCTTTGATTTCAATCTTATTATTCCCAAAATTTAAATTTCATGAAAGCTAGTCATTCTGTTATTATGTCTAATAAATAACTCATTTTTATATTCCAACAGTTTAATATTTTGAAATTTGCTTTTACAGCTTTGATCTGTAATATTTAATATTATACAGAATGATTTCAGGCATTTTTACAACGCAAACTGAAAATTAAAGGTAACTTGGCAAAAGCAATGAAACTGCGAACATTAGTGAAACCAGAACTATTTAAAGCTAAATTGTAATGTAAAAGTTTCTAATTTTGTCTATTTTACTTGTAATAGAAATTTTTTAAATTTGAATAAATTAGTTATCAATAATTTTTTCTTGTTGAAGTTCATTTCAGATATGACCAATTTATCATTTTATCATATAAATGTATTTCCATAGCACTAACGAATACTTACAGTATGATATCCTAAATTCATTACAGTATCACCGCATATCATTTAAGGTTAAATCACTTCTTACTATACAAATGATAAGGAAATTTCCAAATGGTACTATTTATTAATACAATATATTACATTAACAGAAAAAAAAAGTTGATATCAGACATAAATAATCATTGAAATAGTAGAATACTACCTACACATGGAACAAAAGTTAATACATAAGTTAAAATAAAATTGTAAGTAAAAATAATGTTATCACGGGCAAAAAACCGAGTGATTAATTATCAGATCATAATAGATCGCTATTAATTATCTATCTGTTAAAACTAGATTATTAAATATACCAGGATAGAATATTGCATTTCTATTGAAAATAAAGTAAAGAAATATTATCGTTTTTGTCCATCCAGAAACATTTGATAATTGTTTCAGATGTTGAAATACCTAAAATTAAAAAATATTTTATATCGGAATTATGCTTGCATTTGCTAATCAAACTATTCAATACTATGTATCAAAAATATGAAAGTGCTGGCTGGGAACGTTATCATTTACTTATCAGATCACACATATAATTTCATTTTTATTAAATAAAACAAAGAAAGATTAATAAATTCTATGAAATGAATTATTTCATTTTTAAAAGGAATATTATTCCTCTATTCACCTCACAAGTTGCCATTACATCCACATTTACTGCAGCGCATGCACTTCTGCATGCTACATTCATGCATGCCTGCTTATTTGTTGTTGAAACCATGCATAAGCAATAAGCCTATAACTACGAGAAATTGCTGAACCTGAGCAAAAAAAGAGTGCTAAATATGATTTAATAATTCGATGATTTCCTAAAAATTAGCTAAGTAACACTTAAATATTTCTTACTTATATTATATTAGTTATAATCTATCTTAATAGTAGCATAAACCTTCCAAGTTTAATTATCTGTTTGTTGTCAATTGAAATTGTGAAGGAAAATATTTAGTGAAAATTTTCGCAGTGACAAATTATTGTTGCTCATATATTTACATATTTCTGATGAGTATTTTAAGTAATTTCATTTATTTCATGTTGTAATTCGATATTTCCAATATATTAACTCATTGTGATATATTTATAATTTATTATTGAATACTGTGATTTTTACTTTGAATATCATTTAAATTGCAGCGCAAAATTGCTATCATTTATGAAAATATTTTGAAGTAAATAATAAAAACTTTTAAGTCATTAAAGAATAGAAGCAAATAGATAACTCATTTTTGAAAACGTTTGTAAAAATTGGCTCATTTTGATAGTCAATAGTATTTTAGGTTAGAACCTGAAAAAGTATTTGAGCTATCAAACGAAAGACAAAACCCTGACGAATCGATTTTGTAACATGAATAAACAACTTATAACACTTTTGCATCCCAAATGAGAAACTTAGTAATTTTTATGAAATAAAATTTCGAAGCAAAAAATAAAGAAAAAGCATTTGTAAAAATGATCTGATATCCTTTTTCGTTGAAGCACAGCTGTGTTAACTTTCCGTAACCGAATGAAATGGAATGAATGACTCAGCTGTAGAAGTCAACTTGGCAAGAAGCTAAATGTCATCATAAAGGTCAGTGTGTTTTGATGCACTCCCACAAATGGAATTTAGAATAATAGAATAATTTTCTCAAAAACAAAAAAAAGCGCACATCTGCCGAAAGGTACACTTATTATTCGAATATATAAGAGGAATCAATTTTCTGATCATTTGATCTTATCATTTCTTTATCACCGCTTCGAATAAGACTGACAAATTAGTAAGTTCTTTTTTATGAATAATTAAAGATTACTATTAATTCGTGATTGAGTTACTTCAATGTGAGTTTTACTTCCAAAAAATGTGATCTTTGGACAGTGGACTGTTTTAAAGAAAAAAATCATAAGGAACAATGCTTGGAATTAACTAATGGATAGTTGGAGCGATGGAAGTAGAAGCGATATTTTATTTTGGCTTGCAATAACTTACTTTAGCGCAATTTATGCAAATGCGATTAATATTTGGTTGTTTTTGCAGGAAGAGAAAATGAATAAACTTTTAATAGCATTCGGTTTGGTAATTCTTTTTGTGACACTTCCGTGTGCATCAGAATCAGACGAAGAGTTCGATGTAACTTTTGCAAATTTATTAAAGAAATAAGAAACCACTATGTTAACCAAATCACTAAATCGACAGTAGTAGTACAGACCTAGCCAGGTCACGGGATAGTACGTGAGACAAACTGATAAGCAGGTGGTAACGTGGAGCTCTTTCGAGAAAATGACTTATGAGTTGACTGAAATGAGACATAATGCAGGACTTGAATTGCCACCATTTCTTTTCAAATCCATCAAAAAGAAAATATTTTTTTTAGGACTCCGCAGCCGATGACACCGACGACAGCGAGGACGGAGGTGGTAGTGAAGGAGGTGATGAATATGTAACCAAAGGGGAATTTGTTGAAACTGATGGCAAGTGAGTCGTTTGGTACTTTCAATAATTTGAATCCTTCAAAATATTTCTGAGGAATCGGTTCCCTTTCCATCTCACTTTTTATGGGTCCTTTTATTAAAAATGTGTTATTTGTATCGCTGCAATCTTTCATTTCGCTCTGAAATAGTTATTTCTTAAATTGACTCCAAAATGTCCCATATCAATGTCACACATTACCTTACTTATGAAAATGTCACACATTACTTTACTTATGAAAATGTCACACATTACTTTACTTATGAAAATGTCACACATTACTTTACTTATGAAAATGTCACACATTACTTTACTTATGAAAATGTCACATATCACTTACTTAGGAAAAAAGTTCACAAATAATACAAATAAAGAGCTCACCTCACTTTTCCATTCGATTGTTTGCAGAAAGAAAGAGTGCTCTTCGCACGAAGCTTGCTACGATCAACGTGAACCACAAGCGTGGTGCAGACTGAGCGAGAATCAGGCATGGACGTAAGCCACTTCAATCATTTCTTGCGGAAATTACTTCTCAGTGTTCCTCACAACTGTCAACGCTGTGTCCCCACTTCTCCCTCCCAGTGTTCCTCAAACTGTCAACGCTGTGTCCCCACTTCTCCCTCCCAGTGTTCCTCAAACTGTCAACGCTGTGTCCCCACTTCTCCCTCCCAGTGTTCCCCACAACTGTCAACTCTGTATCCCCACTTCTCCCTCCCAGTGTTCCTCAAACTGTCAACGCTGTGTCCCCACTTCTCCCTCCCAGTGTTCCCCACAACTGTCAACGCTGTGTCCCCACTTCTCCCTCCCAGTGTTCCTCAAACTGTCAACGGTGTATCCCCACTTCTCCCTCCCAGTGTTCCTCAAACTGTCAACTCTGTGTCCCCACTTCTCCCTCCCAGTGTTCCCCACAACTGTCAACGCTGTGTCCCCACTTCTTAATAGCACTAATAAGTCATATTTCAGTGACAGAGGCTGCTTCTGCGAAGATAAGTTGCATTCGTGCGTCATCGAAAGAACGAACAATGGTAAATTGGAGTATTCGTACTGTGCACCTGAAGCAGGTTGGCAGTGCGCATAGGAATGAATCAGTCTTTGATACTACCAACTTTCCATCCATTTCTTACACTTTTCAAATTTAATTCTTTCTAACAAATAACATTTAACTTTGGTTTTACCGCTATTTTATTAAATATTGGAAATATGTGCGACAATCAAATATGTCACATCACATTACATTGTGTCACAGATTTCTATTAAAATCTTTAATGTAACAGGAAGAATAAGCGATGTTATAATTGGATATCTTGAATGACAAAAGTTGTTCTTTACATTTTTTAAAAAATTCAAGTAGTAATAACATGTTCAGATTCGATTGTCTATCAACAATAAAATACATTAAACTAAAATTCCATGCAAAAAATGCTGTATTGTTCATTCGTAAAAAAAAAAAAAAAAAAAAAAAAAAAAAACACCACAAAAAGGGAAATTTTAAACTCTGTAAAAAATGGAATGCTGATGAATATATTTTGCGAAACACTCGTTATCATCAAGTAAATTACAAATATAAAATTGAACAAAGATTGAAAAGTAAAAAAAAAGCAAAGGAAAGTTTAGTTCATAAGGATAAACTGCAACAAACTGCTCATTTCATTTAGTGCTTCAATGGAACACTTTCATTTCATTTAATGCTTTATTCTAAATTGAACCAAATGAAATTCACAGTGAAATATTAGCTGGTAAGCACAGAAACTGATAACGCTCCCGGCCATTAGGAGTGATTAAAGCCTAGACAATTTTTTAGAAAGTGATAATATTCCATGCAGTTTCAAGTTGGATCATTGTTTGGCAGTAGAACAAAATCAAAAATTGAAAGTAACTTTATCGTTATGAATACTTACAATAGAAGTAATATTAAGATTATATTCTTTTCAGATAAAATTATATTTTGTCTGAAATATATACCAAAAAAACAATTCGACAATTTAATTTATTTGATAAGTTTATCCCATAAGATCGGTTTTTTTTTTTTTTTTTTTTTTTTTTTTTATGATTCCTTTTCAAATTATGTTAATTAATTATTAAATGATTCACTTATCGATTTGTAATTCACTGGTAAAAGTAAGAGAAAGTGAATAGGAATTAAAAGTTGCATATTCATTAGATATTACCAACAGAACGCGATGAATCATTTTATGATACTTTTTGATGTGCTTTATCGCTACTATTTTCACTATTCCTTATTTCATATAAATGGCGCAAATGTATTGATGATACGATATGTGTGAGGTTCAAAAATGGACATTTGTGAACAGAGGTATGGAATATACTTATAGCAAAAATGAAAAAGTTATAAATGCAAAATGACTGATTATAGAAAGTATCAAAAGTAAAATAGAAAATGCTCATTCAATGATTTGTCAAAAAAGTTGATATCAGAGATAGATCAATCAAATTTAAATCAACAGGGAATATGTTCTACGGTAAGTATCATTTGTAGCAATGAAAATTTTATTCTAAGTATAACTGATCAATACGTTATTACTCGTTGATATCGCAGTGAAAACAAAGAGACAGCAATTCGCTTTGTTTAAAGTCAGATATTTGTGTTTTAAATCATACACAAAATACTTCATCATTTCACATGCGCTAGCACAAAGCGCTACACCAATGTGCGCGTTCTGAAGGCGCAATTTGTTGTCACCTTAAATGTCACCTTAAATGGAAGCGCACCGCACCTTGCCACTCGTTGAAGCATACGGTCCTACCCGTCAAATTCATTTTACGAAATCCTTTGGGTTGGTTGGTATTTGATGTAAAGTTCTAACTACTGAATTCCTTATTGTATTAATCATTTTATTAAAACGAAGGTTTTAATTAGCCAATTTTTAGATAGCGAAAAGAAGAGAAGCAAAAAAGGAGGATTAATCCTCTCAATCTTTGCCGCTATCAAAAAGGAACTGTCAACAATATTTGTGCGACACTTATGCAGGTAAGAATTATAACTACATTCAACTTATAAACATGTGGTAAAGAATAAATGTGCGTTTTAAATTTATGCGAAATGAAAAAAACCGATAGATTAATTGGCTAACAGCGCAGATTGCAAATTATTTAAATGATTAGTTTGGTTAGTTTTAATTAATTCGAGTGAAATTAGCTTAATTTTCCAATCTACTAATTAATTTGATTCGTTTTGAATCATTGCATGCAGTAAAATCCTTTCATTTTATCACAATTTTAATTTCATGATGGCATTAATAAACAAGAAATATAAATGAAATACAGTAGAAAGAAAAAAAATGAAATCAACAAATTATTAGGAGTGTTTACATCATTTAATGTTTTATATTATGACAAATTTATAAGCAGCAATAATTGGTAGAGAAAAGAAAAAGTTGTAAAAGTCATCCATAGCTTCCATGAAAAAGCGGAAAAAGAAAAATTACTAGGAAAAACGCCATAAAAAACCAACCAGAAAATAACTTTTCCATTGGAAAAAGTAAAACTAAAATGAAAGTTGAGTAACGTATATTACAATAGTACTTTACGTTTTTAAACGTTTCACGTGTCGTATGACTCATGTATGCATGATACCATCGTAATATATGATATTCACTTTCTGTGTTAAGTTATTTTTCATCTAAAAAAGAATCCTAAAACAGAATTCAACAAAAGCAAGCAAAAAAAAAAAGAAAAAAAGTCCTGAACACAAATCTGTAAGTAAATCTGACAGGAAAATATCAGTAATCAATCAGTTACACATATTCCCACCTATTCTTTCTCCCAGCACTCATAAATCTTTCAAAAAAAAAAAAAATTTTCTTAGATAAAGAGCTGTTCTTATCCGAAATAGATCTTACAACGAACTATCGTATCTCATTAATTTTGATTTTCAACATCCTATAACAATTGCACATGATCTCATGTAGAAATCGTTGCCAAGTTAACATCTTGCCAAGTTCCCTTCTTTTGTAAATTTGACGGTTTGCGTTCCATTCATTAGTATAGAAGCTATAAAGTGTACCACGTACGTGATGTTTGCACACGTCTACACACGTACCTAACGTTTGGGTATATAACACTGCTGTAAATTGCGTAAGATGAGTTATATGAAAGTAAGTTTTAGCAAATCTTTTTTTGCTTGATACGAAGCATACGTCCATGTAAGCTTTTTTTTCAGTGTACGTAGAAATAGATAATTGCTGTTGTAGATTGATTGGATCTGATATGATATGATGTGATATGGGCTGATATGTTCCAGGACTTATATGTAAATGTTGCTTGAATATTGCTTTTATTAGACTTTGAAATGATTGTTGTGTTAATTAAAGACTTAACTGAAGTGATGTTTAACTAAAGTAATTGATTGTAAATATAATCTTCACAAGTTTTATTCCAGTTTGCTATTTTACTTTTTTTGTTCGAGAAAGGATTGCAAATTTAGTGATATCATTATTGGCATTTACATATTCATTCCCCATTATAATTCATTTTGTTAATTTCTGAAACTTCGGCATAACAACTTATGGTTTATGGTTTTTTGTAAAATTGCAATTTTCTTTCTCATACGATTCTGTTTTTCTTATTTCATGTAAGTTTTGGACAGCTCACAGTTCATATTTCCGTAGCTTTTTTGTTAAATCGATGAAAACTGTAATTTTCAGGTGAACAAAAAGGAGGAAGTGCGAAGCAAATAAATATTCGCAAAACGGTAACTGCGCCGTTGTGCCATGCGTTCATTGTTTCGTACGATAGGGAAGACTGATCAGTTATGGCAAATAGTATCAATGATTATCCGTTGTGCAGTAGCCAGTATCCAGCTGGCAATGTGGTCTGTTTAATTCAAATCTTTTAGCTTACTGTCCTCTCTTTAGAATGTTGGAAAAGTATTATGTCTCTATATAATACGTTCTTTTGATATTCCGAATCGTATTAAGTACGTATTAAATGCAAATATGAATTAAAAGTAAAATGATATTTAATTCAAAATATTAATAAGTCTTACTGAAAAGTGAATAAGAGCTCAAATCGGAAGAAATTGTAGCGTGAATTGCAACAGAGTGGATTTTAGGATGAATTTCATCCCTTTGTGGAGGCGTTGTTGCCGTATGTGAAAGAGTTTAGTTATGTATGGTTTAATTTACAAGCTGCAAAACGGAGGTATATGAAAAGAAACGAAAAGCGGATGACAGTCGATGAAGAGAAAAGTTGCAAAGATGCGTTAATGGCAAGCTTTTAATTGTTTTGGAAAATTTCATAGTTTTACCAAATTTAAGTATTTAAAGTATGAAGTCAAGCATTTACTGAACACTGATATCCTATGAATATTTTTTGTGTCTCTTAAACTATTTCTATTCAGTCCTATTCAGTGGTTGATACAATCATTCGATCTGTCGAAAAAATAAAAAACGACGACCGCATTACTAGGACAGTGAGGAAATGATAGACCAAAGCTTGAATGCATTTGGAATAACGCTTGCATTTTATTTAGTAAAGGTTGACTGAGATTCTTCATTCCATGCTTCCAATTTACAGAATGAAAGGGTGGAAATAAAACAGAAATGGGCAGGACGGTTACTTGGCAAGTTAAGAAAAGATATACAACCTCATTGCCGGGAAGATTTTGTCCTTTGTGTCACAGGACAGAGGCCAGCAGTTTGCATATTGTCAAATCCTGATCAAAAGGGGAAGATGCGACGAATCGATTGCCTGCGACAAGCGGACAAAGTATGGCGTCTTGATCTAGTGATGGTTATTTTATTCAAGGTATGGAGGAGTTATAAATTCGGTTTAATAACATTTTTCTGCATTTTAGTGGATGAATTACAACATTTGCATTGCTCTTACTGTAACGTCGGTGCTTCTATCTCTAGATTTTCTTTCTCTATTTAGATAATCTAGTTTCTGATCATTTAACAGTTCAGTTCATCTGCAGTGCAGAATATAGAAATGGCATCTCGGCATGAACACGTCTGTTTCTAGGGTATTCCTTTGGAAAGTACGGATGGTGAACGTTTGGAAAAATGTTCAGAATGTGCATTTCCAAGTTTATGTGTAAATCCTTATCATATTAGTATAGCTGTACGCGAATTAGATTTATTTTTGGCAAATTTTATACATACAACAAATCCGGATGCTGCCGAGGAAGAAAGCGATGAGAAAGGTGCTGATGTTTTCATTAATTTTGAGGAATAGTTTCCTTATCTTTTCAAGTCAGGCATAAAGGTGTTGTATATAATTATCCCACTAAATTTTCATATTTTTGTTGAGTCAGATTATTTAAACATATTTCATTCTGTTTAGAATTATAGGTATTTTATTTTATTTAGGATCACAGGAGCACTCACTATTGCTTATAATTCTTTAATTTTCAATTTTCAAAGAAAGGTTTTGTCCTGGAATATTCTAGATATTGTATAATAAGTTATGATTTGAAAATATCTTCACATTAGATTTAAACTTTATTGACATTTATAGATCCTGACAAATTAGCAGCGCATGAAGGTATTTGGGGAACTGGTGTCTTTACCGCTTATGAATTGAAGACTTTGACTAGACGTACGTTTCTTTGATTATTGATGTGGTGCTTTTATTAAAGTTATCGTTTTCGCCCTTTTTCTAGTGTTTTCTTTATCTATACAAACTTTGTGATGTATATACTAGTAGTTTATTTTCGTTTATTTTTCTTTTGTGTTGTTACTTTTTTCGAGATAAGGTAGAAGAAAAAGACTTGCATTATTCTCACCTAGAGATCAGTTATAATATTTAGTTTATAAGTCTTTTTGTTCAAAATTTATGAGTAGAAGCGTCTAACCAGTTATCCGACTAATATAGTTGTTGCTTCATTCTTACTTCCGAAAGTGTTTTTTATATCAGCACTTGCTTCATAAATGTTCGTTTTTTGCTATATTCCTGCACTTTGTGTTTATTATTTTCGTCACCAAATCAGTTGATTACAATTTTAACCTGCAACTTTATAGCCGCTTGAATTATAGGTGAATAATTTTCCGTTCATCTCAGATTATGTATTTCGCTGGGATAATATATTTTTACATAATTCCTTTAGATGCATGAATTTGCTTAGGGTTGACAGTTTTTTAAAGGTTAAAAGCATGTATTGTACGTATTGCGTTCAAGTCGACAGCAGTTTCACAGTTTGTTATTCATCCCTCAAATTCATTAAACAAGAAAGTTTCGAGTTGACATTCTAAAAGATTATTTGCATGGGTATAATGGTTAAGTTAGAAATGACGTTTCCGATTGTTCAAATTTTCCTTCCAGATGATGCATTCGCGAATGCGATAGCACCAGTCTCTGTTCATCACTGGTCACTTTATTTCCGTGTTCCTTGTAAATGAGGAACTCTTCTACATAAATGATTGTTCAATTTTTACAGCTTCAATAATAACACTGGTTGAAGGCGAAGCACGTATACCGGCAGAAATCATTCCACAAAAGGAAGAACCATATAACGATTTGGAATGGCAGTCACCTGGTAGCCCACCGCAGCCATCATCATCACGACGACACGTCGCTCCTACGTCTACTCCAACTGTGGCGGCGGATTATCGAATATCTGATAATCATGGCATCATTGAAAGCACTGGTAATTAAGTTTCTGCCTGCTACGCAGTTGTTGCACTGTAACCTTCTGTTCTGTTCTAAGTTTGAAAGTTGTATTACCACTGCAAATATATTTCTTTTTTAAGTTGTTTTGGCAAATGAGTAGACAGGATGATGTAATTCTCAAGAATATTCGTCCTGAATATTAGAACTGTGCTAGTTCATAGCATTAAGAAAAAAGTATAATTCACCGAAGTTACTGCTTAAGTGGATAATTTTTTTGTTGACCAAAATATGTAAATTTCAGCGGTTATATTTAGATACCAGGATACGAAGCAGTAGTTTGAGTGGACCAGGTGGAACACCCCAAGTGGGAGCAATGGTAACAATTGCATTGGATACGGACTTGACACATCCAGATTTTGACCATCCGAATCTTTTAGCTGATGACGTACTTTTTATTTCTCATTTCCTAATTTTGTTCCGTAGTTATTATAACTAAGCAACATTAATTGTCAAACAATTGAGAAAATAAATCTGAATTATTCATTAACGAACCTGAGAAAGCAAGTCAGACTTAGCAATGTGCTAAGAATTTAAAGACATGTGTGTTAGTCCGGGAAGTTAAAGTTTTTTTTTTTTTTTTTTTTTTAACTTTTAAAATGCATTTTCAATTCTAGGCTGCTGAACCATTGGAAAAACGTAGTCGGCACGCCTCACGGGATAGTGTAGGAAGTGTTAACGAAGAAGTACATCAATTAATTGGTGGACGCATTGTTGGCCAACCAATATATATCCAGATAAAACGAAGTGATGATGGCACTGCAAGTAATCGAAGGTGCTTTTTTGTGCTTGATATCGCCATCATTATAATTTTTGATTGTACTTCTTCGTTAACACTTTTTCCTTTCTGTGATATGGTGATTAACAAATTTAGAATTTATGAGTACTTTCGAAGGAAATATCAACTCATTTCAGGACTCTTGTGGTACAGGGTGCGGTTGAAGGAACAAGGCTTGTACAGCTGAGGTTATTCATTTCTTATCCAATTTTTTTTTGTTTTTCATTTTGAAGTGGCTAATACTGTATGGTTTTATATCAGCATAAATCTTTTTCGTTGTTAAAAAGCAAAAAAAAACTGACGTCTAAGTGGATATATGTAAGTGGTATATTATTAACCGCAGCCAACTCAGTCATTGATATAGCACTCATAAAATTAATCGAGTTTGTGCATGGAATAAAAATAAAATATCTGTAGATTCTATATTCTTTTTTCTTTTTTTAAATAGCACTAAAGACTTGCAGACCACCTTTCACGGTTTCAACATCGAATGATGGACAGGAACGTCTGATCAGGGAAGATGCATTGGAAAGTGGAAATCGAAGTAATACTGTAAGAATTGTTTCCCAGCATGGCGAATTACATCAGGACAGGCATCATGCATCAGGTGAAACTATAAGAAGTATTGGACCAGCTGATGTCAGTGAAACATCATTGATGCACCGTGATGCGATGCGCCCAAGGACAGGGTGAGTTTCTCGTATCAAAAATTTTCACAACTTTGTTCGATCATTTATTGATGCTGAGGGAGAGAGAGTTATATTTCGTGGAAGTGTCAAACAGATTAAGACGATATTAGCAAATGAAATTTCGAGAGTTTTTTTCTTTCTTTTGAATCACCGAGAAATGGCAAAAATTAAAAATAACCCAAGTGAATAGATTATGAGACTTTGGTAAATTACATTGGGAAAAGGGGTAAACTGTTGAATGTGTTGTGATTAGTTGGTGTTAATAAAACTTTAATGCACTTGATATATTGATAAAATATTTACAGGCAAAGATTGAGAAGCCTCCTCAGTATCATTCAAGCGTACAGTTCTAACAAATTTGTGCTAACATATAGAGGATTTTTAGATCAACATGTGAGAGTTTACTTGTACCTACGTCAACGGCTCGACAATCAAGTCGACTTTCTGAAGATTATCAGATACATCATTCTGGCCAGCAGAAGAGAGACTTTGCGAACAGCACTGTATCCGCAGTCACTCCACAGCGTTAGTTTTTTTTTTTTTTTTTTTTTTTTTTTTTTGTATTTTATTTTTTTGTTTTTTTGTTCCTTGTTACCAATCGATTGTTTCACTGAGTTGTTTAGGTTATAAAGTGAGCTGGTAGTGAGGTCAATTTATTTGGCAGGTAACAAGACCAGCAAGGAAATCCGAAAAGTGTAAGAGCAGTTATGAAATATGATAAACAAGATTGCGGTTCTTTCAGTACTTTTTTCTTTCTGTTTCATTCTCCAAAATAATCCCATCTTGCTTATGGTGAACTAGGATGATGAACTCTTTAATTGTTGATATAAAGCATTTTCTCTTTGCTTGGTCTCGAACTTTTCTGCTAATAGCTGTTAACTTTATCTTTGATAGTTTTCTTCTACAAGGGATTTTTCTGATATTATTGTATTTATTTTAATTTGCATACGATTTGGCATTATTTGGCACAATTATTTCCAAAGTTGTTCTTTCAATTAATTTAATGATTTTTTGCCATACTTCATGTTGGGTGAAATTATTAATTAGTATTTCTTTTTTGAAATATCAATGATTTATTTATTATTAAATTTTAGGTATTGGTACTGTGACAGCATTTACTCGTTTGACTCGTGATGTGAAAGTGCGAAACCCCAATGATACTGCTCAAGATGTAGAACAGGTTGTTATATTCAGGTAAAGTTTGTTTGCTGTTAAAACTTTACAGTATATTTTTCATTTACACGATTAGTATGATCCGTAGAAAGATTATAGAGATTGTTTTCAACAGAATTTCATGTTTGTTTCACAGACGTTTCACAGACACATAGCAACCGGTTGAAGATTCATTTGTTACCAGCATGCTTCTAAATTTGAACTCCAACAATTTCTTTTATTCCTTTTATTGCTTCCATGAGGCTTCTGTTATCATTCAGTTCATAGTTATTTCAACCAGATTTTATAAAAGATTTTTGTAAAATCACTTTTTATTCTAGGAAACGTAATCATTCTCCAAGTTCGTCAGCTAATGAGCGATTACTGGGTAGAACTACAGAAATGGATAATGCTGCTGTAAGTAGTCGCAATGTGCATCAGCAACAGCAACATTTGGCTCTTCAGAATGATTTTGATATGACGTTGCGAGATTCTTCAGGCCTAAATATTGTCGATATGCATCATTCAAGTCCGACAAAGTTCACAACGTCAAATGGTGATGTCATTAGCTTCAGGTATGTTGCGTTATTCGAGAAATTTAAATATTCTTTTTTTGTATGTACAGATTGTGTGGTTTATATTTAATGTATATATTTTTACACCATCAAAATTTAGTGTGCTTTATGATTACGCTCTGATCTCACCAAATTATTAGTCTTATTCATATCTGATTTTTCTGCCTTTGATATATAAGTTTGAAATCTAATTTTCGTTATATTACTATCTAATGGGTGACAGCAACCAGTAGTTATGACGAAAGGTCATAAAAAAAAATAAATATTCCATCAAATGAATCAAAAATGTTTCCAAATTGCTAAATCAAAAGTGTTGTTTCGACCCCAGTGCAAATTCAGGATGAATCATTTTAAATGGTGATTCAATTCATTTTAAGAAATAATTTAACCATTATTTACTTTTTTTACTTTTTGATTTTGCCATTCTCATAAATTATCTCTTATACATGGTCCAGTAAACGTAAAATCCGCCTTATGAAAAATGATACATTAATTCAGCTGCCAACACTTACTGTAAAGCACTTGTATTGCTGAGTAGGTTTTGTTAAGTAGTTTAACATTTGATGGAGCATTATCTTCTGATTTTTGTGTTGCCATAACAGTACTCCTAATTAAAACACATTTTCAGCACTGTGCTGCACAGCATCGAAAGTCAAAATTCGATAAAACGTAGTATCAGTTTGGATATTTCACCCCCTGGCTCTTCCACACAAGCGGTGATCATAGACGAAAGGCGTATATTAGAACATGATGCTGCTGAAGTGGAAGCAAGGATTGCAAAAAAGGTTGCATTGCTGGATCAGCCAGTTCGAGAATTCACAACTAAGCCAGGAAATCCTCAGGTAACATTTTTGCTTCTCTACCTCCACCGTATCTGCTTCGTCACATTTATGTACTCCTTATTTATTTGTATTTTAGTTTGCTTAAAAATTTACGCTAGTATTGCTCTGTTATTTTCAAAATTTTCTGCTAATAGGAATTTGAAACTACGGAGAAAGCCTTCGTCTAGAAATGCTAGTAGTTGTAGCTAGAAGTATTTGGAAATTTGAGGGCACATTCTTTTTATAGTTACTGGTAACTCCTCGGCCTGTTGTGGCACATCGTCCACCGTTTATCTCTAACATTGGCGATACAAATAACAATGCTGCTGCAGCCGCTGCTCGTGATGCTAAAATAAGTCATATTGTATCACGACAGGTAATTTTGCTATGAAATTTTCCTATTATTGAGTTACACTCAAAGGACTAATTTTTATGCCGCATTCATAAAGTTACATGATGCAGGATTGTTAATTCAGTTTTACAAGAGACAAAAAAATTGTACTCAATTAAGTTTGACTAGTGCCTTAGATTCATTCTAAAATTAAAATTAGTGGCTATTTGCTGTGATTAAAGTGATTGATATCTCTGTATTTATTTATTTTTTTTTTTTTTTAATACATCCAAAAGTCATTTTTTCTAATTTTGGATGAGTAGATGCTGTGCATTTTGAATGAATGAAGCAATATATATGAATTATCAAGGCTGTTATGCAGCAATTCTCCTACTGTACTTCTTGTATCCTTCATTGTTGGATTAAACCTAGAATTTAGATTTTCCAAAAAAGATGGAAATGAATAATCATTGGAAAAGTTCCATGCAGCTTTCTTTTTGTCAGAGATGCAACATGCAAGATATTTGCAGCAGCAATTGTTTGATAATGCCTGCAACTCAGCCATGGGTTCACCGGTGCCTTTTACTCTGAGTAGCCCACTAACGACTCCACGCAGTACACCGATTCCTGCAGCAAGCTCAACTCTTGGAACGCCAGTACCTGGCGTACGTATACCATCTAGAGGACCGTTGACCGATGAAGAATATTCGAGTATTGTTCAGAATGTGATCACTGCTTCTAGTGGTTCATCCGCTTCAGCAGATCAAGCATTGCTGAAAGAAGGTGTGTACGATGAGTTTCCGTTGTGTTATAATTGTAGATGGCAATTTGTAGATGGCATGTTCAATTAAACAAATTTATTGACAGTAGTTGAAGACATTCCTTACTGATGATGAATAATTGAATTTGTTTGCTATTTTATTATAAGAGAAAAAAATATGCTTATATTTCATTGCTGTTTACCATTTGTTGGTTTTAGTTTCAAATCAATTTTTGAACTACTTCAACGAAAATAGTCGTTCTCCGCATAATGGTACATTCCCTCTTCAAAGTTCTTCGGATGCACGGTCAGATTCATCTGCTTCAAAGTAAGCTTTGTTTCAAAATTATTTTTTTTTTTTTTTTTGCTTCGTGAGAATGGATATTTTGATTTGGTAAATAGTTAGGGATTATAAATTATAAAGGATAAAAGCGGCAAAATTCATGAACGAAATCATTAGAACACCTATTTTGTTGGCGTATTTAACGCATAGTAACACTAGTGAAGAACTTTATTGCAGTATATCGGTACCTGGAGTTATTTCCCTTTCAACACCTCCAACAAATGCTTTAATCACATCTCAAACACCGACAGCTACATCACCTATAGCTGATTCAACTACTAGCAATGAACAGCTATCAGTAAGTTGTTCGAAGTATTTGAAATAACGAACTTTTGTATTTGAATTACACATGTCAGCAAGTGTTAGTCACAGAGGTGTTACATTATATTTGGTGCACTCTGTACAAAAGTTTGTTGCCCGTCATGGTAAAAGAAAAAAATTTACCATCGTAAATTTTTTTTTTCTTTTGACCAACATTTTATCCCAGTTTCTTCTCAATTATGTATTCAGGAACAATTTTTTGCTAGTTTGCTACAAGCTTTGTAAGCTTTCAGATGCGTGCATTGCCAGATTCAACCACAAACGATTTACGTCAGGCAGGAAATAGGCCAAGTTCATCACCGACTCCTTCATCTCGTGGCGGTTCCACATCGTCAACATCAAATTCTCAGAGCTTAAGTAGTCCATCGGAATTCATTAAAAAATGAGAAGTAGCGTTTATTTAGGAATATGTCTAACTGCATTGTTTTTTTTTTAAGCTTCCATGAAATGTTTCGTCATGAATAAGGTAAATTCATAAAAGTTTTCATGCAACTGTTTAGATGCGAAATTACTAAGGAAAAACAGATGGTGAAAAATTTCTGTGGAAACGCTCATTTAGTCTTTTTTTTTTAGTGCATAATTACAACTCTTACTGTTTTTTTTTAATATTTGCCATCTTTTCTTCTTTCTTTTCTCTCTCTTTTCTTTTAGTTATGTTATTCATTCATCAAAATTCAATGAAATGTGACCTTCAGTTCCATTGTATAGTATTTCAAATGAAAATTGTATTTCTTTTTTTTTTTTTTTTTCTCATATATTTTCACTTCTTCAAAACACGCTGTCATTGTTTTTTTTTTCCTAATTTCTTCTGTGACATGCAATAATTAGTGATCAATTTGCACTTTAGTTGTGATCCTTATTCTTATTATTTGCTGATTGATCTTTCTGTTGATTTCTTTTTTGACCAAAATTAGGTAAGCAAAATATATGCCTCTATTTATTGATTGGAAGGATTTTTTTTTTAATTCTTGGAATATTATAAGAACGTAAAAACTTGGGCGTCCATTTTAATGTGTTTCTTGTTAATAATTCACTGTATAATGTATCACTGACATTAACTTTCCCAGCGAAACTTTTTAGCCACTTATCTTAATTAATCTGCTAATTGTATTTCAATAAGTTTGTTTTCTTTTCTTGTTTTTTTTTCTTTTTGTTTTTGTTTTTTTGAGATTATAAAAATGAATTAACTGTGCTGACTGTTAAAATTACTAGAATGTTACACATATTGTTACATCTTTCGATGATTGCTACATTTATATTATTGGTAACAATCATAGCTAAGTTTTTTGACTAAAGCTTACTGTATTAGTCGCCAGAACCTTTTTTTTTTTTTTTTGTTGATTATCTAGAAGTATTTTCGTGTACTTTATATTATTGTTTATGTTGCTGTGCTCTAACCGGTTGGTTTTATTGTTTTCGTTTTTCCGTTGTAAATGGATGCTGTTAATTAGATTGTGAAGCTGAAAATAACTTTTCATCATTTAAAATTTTTGTTTCCTGATTTTATTTCAAAATGTTTGTTCTTTCCTTCTCTTCTCTTCTCTTCTCTCCCTCTTTCTATTTGTTTGTTATAGCATTAAAGTTGCTAATGCTTAATTATTATCGACATATTTTAATATTTAAACTGAAGATACTAGTAAATCCTAATTCTTGAATGGAAAATAAAAGTGGTTTCATTACTGTGACATTGTGTTCAAAAACACAGCATTGAATGCTAGCTAACAGAGGAAAATTTTAAAGAAAAATCAAAAACATATTTCATTTTGTCTGAAATTAATCTTCCTTACATGAAAAATGTACTATAGTAATTTCATTTTGCAAATCCCAGAATATATCAACTTTTTGGCGATATGAGTAATACATAACTGGGATGGTAGAATATGTGCACCGAAGAATTATTTGAAAAAACGTCAAACATGCATAAATTAAGCCTAAAGTTATTGCTAGACTGAACTGAATGTTAAGGTTCTGATGAATTAAAATCTGAAAAATTGAATTCACAGTTAATTAAATTATATTAAACGTAAATATTGCAATATTCCATTTCAAAAAAAAGCCTTAGTCATAAATAAACTTTCCTTGTATTGAATGAATTTAAATGCTTTCTTCTATTCACACATTGATATTCAAACATATTATTAATAACTGAAAAAAAAGAAACAGCTAATAGCATATAGCTGTTGACAATAATTTGTTGAAATAATTTTGTTAATTTTAAATGAAATTATATCATTTAGGATAGCATAAATTTTGATTTATCTTTCAGATTTTCTTTTCTTTCAATGCATAATATGCAATATTTTTAGTGAATAAAAAAGAAAAAACGAAAAATTGAATGAAACAATTTGTCATTTTGATTTTGATAATTTCAACTTTTTGGTATTTTCTCAACTTCTTCATTCCCTTTGAAATTCATTTTTCAATCTCTAAAAAAGCTAAATATTCTGTATTTCGCTCTCTCTTTTTTTCCCATCTCTTTCGTTTCATATAATAGATGCACATTACACTTTTTGATTTTTGTTTTCTCGTTTTTAATTATATTCCAAAAAATACTAAAATTTGTGAAATATTACTGAGGTGAATAAGTGGTACGTATAAATATGATTCATTTTAAAAATGATATTACTTTTACTTGCGTAATTGTTATTAACAATAATAATTTAATAATCAATAATAATAATAATAAGTAATGAAAAATGATAAGAAATTATTAGAGGAAAAAATAGATGCAATAATGAAATGTAATATTAGTAATAAATACGATAAAATAATAATTATAAAAGAAAAGCTTTCGTTTACTATTATTATTATTATTTCTCCTTATTATTTTTCATTATTACTTACTTATTGTTTTTATTCCTACATCTGAATGAAAAAATTTCCATCATAAAAACTTAATAATTTTAAAGTCTCATCGGATTGTTTATCGTACTAATTCCGGTAGTATTGATCTGTTCTTATGATATTACTAATTGATAGTTAATCATTAATACATTCATCGTTCATGTGATATTTTATTGATAACAAAGATAAATGTACCTCATTATGTAGTATTGATTAATATATATTCAGAGAAAGAAGTGGGAGAGAGAGGGAAAGAGAGAGAGAGGGAAGAAGGGAGCAAGAGGAAAAGTAGAGGAATATTTTAAAATGGTACTTACTTTCAATTAATAATTTTATTTTGCATTTCATTTATTTATTTTTTTACTTTAATTCTACTTCAAAGTATTTCACATATACATACATATTTATCTCTAATTAACAGGAATTATTAATAAAATTCTCCTAATCAAATTCATAAATTATTTCAATAGTTACAAATATTTAATTGAGTAACACTACCACAAGTTCTCATTCATAATAAATACCACAAAATTTTATTCCCATTTTGTGGTAGTTCAAGTTAACAATGTCTGAAGTACGTACGTATACGTCTCTCTATGTGTGCGTGTATATACACATACGTACGTGTACGTGTACGTATATGTATAGAAAACCATCGACATTCTATTCTAACTGACAAAACAAATAGCGGAACGATTATTTTCTTCTCACATTCTATGGATCTCAGTCCTCAGTCCAAACCTTTTATAAAAATTTCTAAACATTTTATTCTTACATACTCTTTTCTTACAAATTTTCCTTATATTTCGTTAATTTATTTCAGTCATTCCAGTCTCTCACTTACACATACTCTCTTCTAGTTCCATATAATAATTTAATAAATCCCAACTTTTCCCTTTCTCTCTCTTCGGCTAAATTTTAACACTTTTTAAAATTTATCCCACCCCTACACACATGCATCCACACATAAACACACAGACATACACGCAATACACAGTAGACCGGTCGTCGATCTTTTCCCCGCGATTCTATTTCGCGGCTTCCGGGATATCTCAGTCGTCGCACCAGTAAACACAGATGTGTACTCTTTTCCCCGCGACTCTATTTCGCGGCTTCCGGGATATCTCAGTCGTCGCACCAGTAAACACAGATGTGTACTCTTTTCCCCGCGACTCTATTTCGCGGCTTCCGGGATATCTCAGTCGTCGCACCAGTAAACACAGATGTGTACTCTTTTCCCCGCGATTCTATTTCGCGGCTTCCGGGATATCTCAGTCGTCGCACCAGTAAACACAGATGTGTACTCTTTTCCCCGCGACTCTATATTCGCGGCTTCCGGGAGATGTGTACTCTTTTCCCCGCGATTCTATTTCGCGGCTTCCGGGATATCTCAGTCGTCGCACCAGTAAACACAGATGCGTTATTCGTTGCATTTCAGATCGGAAATAATGGCGTTGCAATCAGCGCAACTCCGTGTGCTATGCAATAATGCACTGATAAATATGAAAATGCTAACATGTAGGTAAGGTCATTGTCTCTTTGAATGCTTTCCACTTTTATTCTTATTTTCTCTCTTTTTGTGCATAAAAGTTTAAAAATTATTGCGATAATTTTTAGTTTTCAAAGGTAATTTTATGTGATTTTGTTTTATTTTCTTTTTCGTTTTTCTTTTAAATTTCAAATTTGTTAAATGTTAATGATTTATTCTCGTCTTCAAAGAAAAGAAAACAATGTTACACTAATAAAATTGACATTTTCAATTTTTAAACAATGATTAATGCATGTTTTTTTTTAACTTCTGTAATTGCAATTTATAGTTAGTGCAATTAATTAATTATTTATCAAATGCATATGTTTGATTTTAATTAATGAAATGCAGTCTTATTGCTACTTTTCATTTTTATTCTATTAAACACTTTTTTTTTGCAGCACAATACGTACAATATGCACTACGACAGTTAGTTTTTCTGATTCAGCTGTACCACAGGAAATGTCGGAGCAAGAAATGGCATTGTATAAATTATATAGACCGGAGCGTGTAACACCCAAAAAACGAGGCACAGATTTACTAAACGATAGTCGGATTAATAAGGTTTATTTTAATACTTAATAATTTCACTCTATTTATTATATTTATTTGATTTCACTATATTTCACTATATTTATTTATGGTTTATTTTTGTCAGTCCACATAAGTAATTATTTCTTTTATGTCATAAGACTTATTTTGCCGAATGTAATAGTTTAAAATTCGCTTCAGTTCTTCATTGATATGATAATTTGTCAAAGTTTTTACCAAATATATTTTTTTAATGCTTTTTAATTTCTGAATAATTTTTTTTTTTTTTTTAATTTCATTTTCAGGGGATGGCATTTAGTTTATTTGAACGACAATATCTTGGAATACATGGATTACTTCCACCGGCATTTATGACCGAAGAGCAACAAGCATATCGTATAATTAGTCAACTTCGGCAACAACCCAATGATTTAGCTCGATACATACAGTTAGATGGTTTGCAGGTTTCTATAACTTTTATTTAAAAGTTTGTCTTTTTTTCTTTTTTTCAATTACATATGTGGTTAATCTACCTGTAATTATCGGTTGTTTCCGTTATCTGACAGTGATAAAACTTACAGTTCTCTATACTCACATATTCCTGTCACGAAATATAATATATTTGTTGACAGTTCTAGGATTTGAATTTTTGATAGACCTCATAGCGGAGTTTCGAATCTTTACCTATGTGAATCCTAACCTCAGTATAATAAGAATAAAAAATTTGAATGCTAGCCTAAACCAGAACAACGATCTTGTGTTTACTCCATATTCTGATGCTCATTATTAAAAATAACTCATGCCTGTTTATTATTATTTCAGGATCGTAATGAAAAATTGTTCTATCGACTTTTATGCGAGCATGTCAAAGAATTGATGCCAATTGTTTATACGCCAACTGTTGGTTTAGCTTGTCAAAATTTCGGCTATATTTATCGAAAACCAAAGTAAAAGAATTCTAAAGACTTATTGTATGGTGCAGTAAATGTTTTGGAAATCTTAAATTATAATAGGAATTCTGGAATAGTAAAAAAAAAAATTTCTTTTTTGTTAAAGATTACCTATCTTTGAATAAGTTATATATAGTCTAAATCAGAATTAAAGCAAATTTTTCTTCCTTTTTTTTCCATTTGCAAGTTGAATAGAATAAGTTTAATGAAAATAATGTCGAATGGAGCAGCCTTAACAGAAATTTTGAAAAAAAAAAAAAATGTTTTTTGAAAACTTAGTGGTTTTCTTTTTTTTTTTTTTGAAAAATCGTCATTATTAAAAGAGATAAATTTTATTTAAAAACTTTATCTATGACGCACATAAGTTAATTTAGAGTCAATTTTTTTTTCATGATTTTTTCTTCCAATGATTTTTTTTCTCTGAATTTAAAATTGCATTGTAGGTTTGATTAACAAGAGTGTTATAAAAGAGTAAAATGCATAATTTCAGAGGCCTTTATATAACAATCAATGATAATAGTATTAGCAAAATTCATCATATTTTATCTAATTGGCCGGAAAAAGATGTCCGAGTAAGTTTTTTTTTTTCCTTTCTTTTGTTTTTATTTTCTAAATAGAGAGGAAACGCTAAATTTAATTTAGCATTTCTTAATCTTAACTTCGAAACTATTTAAAACGGTCATCATTTCTGGATGATAAACATTTCGATTTAACTAAACTTTTTTTTTTTTTTTTTGTAAGAAAAGCAATAAAATGTGAATCAAAATAAAGGAATAACTCTCATAAGATTTTGATATTTGAAAAAAAAGAAAAAAGAAATTATTGAAATTGATATTCATCATATAACAAGGTTAATGCTAAATATTTTTTTCTTTATTTAAATTTATCATGCATTCAAGCAATAACAATATGTGAACAATTGATGGATCCTTCGTTATATCCTCTTTTAGCTAACTAAATTTTAATGCTTAAAAAAAATACTCGCTAAATTATTTTATGCATAGAATTAAATTAGAAATAAGATTAAATATACTTTTTCTATTCCCATATTTTTGCATTTTTTTAAAAATTTTTATTCTTAATAATGAATTGATGCTTGTCTTTTTCAAATTTTGAGTTTAATCGAATTTTTTTCTTTTTTTTTGCATTTTTATCTTCAGGCGATTGTAGTAACAGATGGAGAGCGCATACTTGGTTTAGGTGATCTGGGATGTTACGGTATTGGTATACCAGTTGGAAAGCTCGCACTGTATGTCGCCCTTGGCGGTGTGCAACCGAGGTGGTGTCTCCCGGTGTTGTTAGATGTTGGAACCAACAATGATGTAATTGAGATGAAAATTTTTTTTACGTTTTCCTGATTTCTACTACTACACTTTTTTTTTTTCTATTTTTATATAAAATATCACTGATATTTTATTTCAGGAGCTTTTGAATGATCCATTTTATATCGGATTACGCCGTAAACGTGTTCGTGGAAGTGAATACGATCGACTTATCGAAAATTTTTTCTTAGCTTGTAGAAAAAGGTTTTTTCAACTTTTTGTAGCCTTTTTTTTCTTACATGGCAGAAATTTTTGCAAATTTTTATGTGACTTACAATGTTTCTGGTATTTTTATTTTTGTGTTTTGTTTGGAATTGAATCATAATTTTTTTTCTTAGTCACAATCGTAACTGAGTGACTAACATAAATAGCAAGAAAAAAGCAAATTGTAAATATTTGCCTTTGATCATTTGTAAAATGGAAGAAAATAGTTCTATAAGACGAAATGTAATATTATGAATAAAATAACAAAGTATAATATTCAGTAAAAAATTAATATGGCAACAAAATATATTTTAATTTCAAACTAGTTTTTTTTTTAAAAAAAAAGAGGAAGTTTGGACGAAAAATAGAAAACAGTAATCTTTAAGAAAGATGAAAACAAGTGTAAGATTAATTTCTCTAAAAAAAAAAAAATAGATTTTTTAAAATAAATATATTTTTTTCTACTTTTTATTAAGATTTGGGCAACAGGTTCTTATTCAATTCGAAGATTTCGCTAATCAAAATGCATACCGTTTATTGGATATGTACAGAAACAAATATTGCACCTTCAATGATGACATACAAGGTATATTGGCTTTTTTATTTTTTTTTTCTTTTAACATTTTTTTCCTCTTTCATATTTTTACTTCCATTACTTATCAGTAATATTTTATTTTTATGTCACTTTTTTTTACTAATTTTTTTATTTGATATCATATAAATAATTGTTTTCATTTATTTATTCATTTCTTTTTTTGTCTTTTACACTTTTTCTTTTTTTTAGGAACTGCATCTGTTGCAGTAGCTGGTCTTTTAGCTTGCTGGAAGTATACTGGTAAACCACTTGCAGAAGGAAAATTTGTTTTCTTAGGTGCTGGAACTGTAAGTTTATTTAATTTGAAATTCAGTTGAACAAAAAACTTTCAGAATAAAATTTTCCTTTTTTTGAAATAATTCATAATTTTTGAATGAATTTATAGTGAGTAATGGTGTATATGAAACTAATGGAAAATAAAATTGATGAATTTTATGCAATTTATTTTAGGCATCAATGGGTATCGCTGAATTATGTGTAGCAGAAATGATAGCAGAGGGTTTGACAAAGGAGCAAGCATATGACCGTATCTTTTTAATGGATATCGATGGATTAATTACAAAACATAGAGAAAATTTAGGCGACTTGCATAAACCATATGCAAAAGATTTGCCTGAAACAAAAAGTTTATTAGAAGTAAGTATATATTCACTTTTTCCTTATTACTTCCTAATGTGATTGGATATAAATATATTTGCTTTATTGATAATAATGATATAATCAACATATAATGAACAGCGAGCATTTTTTTCGATTTTTTCTTCAACTTTAGATCATATTAATTACACAGGAAAAAATTTTTTTTTCCTTTTATCAGACAAGAAAAATCAAGAATTTGTGTTTTGTTTTTGTTAGGTTGTGAAAAAAGTAAAGCCTTGGGGTTTGATTGGTGCTTCAACGGCACGTGGGGCTTTTAATGAAGAAATTGTTCGCGAGATGGCATCAATTAATAAACATCCAATCATTTTTGCCCTTTCAAATCCAACAGATAAAGCCGAATGTACAGCAGAAGATGCATATCGTTGGACTAACGTATGTTTGTAATATATGTATAATTTATTTGTTTGTTCATTTATCTTTTATTTATTTATTTATGTTTATTTATCATTTATTCTTATTTATTTATATATTTATTTATGTCTTAGATATGTATATGTTTATTTATCAGTTTATTTGATATTTACATCCTGCTAAATATAAGAAATAGATTAATCTACTTTTTAGATACGTCTATTTAGTCGATTCCATTAACAGAATAATAAAGAGAAACTTTTTCATCATTACAATCTGTTGTGGTGTTTTTTCCTTTTCTTTTTTTTGAAAAGATAGTAAATGAAAATATAAGTCATTAAATTATTAAACATTTCATCAAATATATTTAAAAATGATGTGATAAAGAAAATTAAAATCTTTTTAAGTTTGTTTATTTTCATTTATTTCAGGGAAAAGTCTTATTTGCCAGTGGTAGTCCATTCCCAAATGTGGAATATAATGGGAAGATTTTTAAGCCAGGTCAAGGTAATAATGCATATATTTTTCCTGGTGTAGGCCTTGGTGCTATTCTGTTCAACATTCGCCATATCGATGATGAAACATTTCTCATTGCTGCTCATGTTTGTTCTTGTTTTCCTTTCTTTGTCCTTTATTTATTTATTTATTTTTTCTGTGGAGAAATCAGTGATGTAAAAAATTAATTGCTTTTTTTCAGTCCTTTTATCTTTTCAGTGCTCAGTTCTGAAATTGTTATTTTTTTTTATTTTTTTTTAACAAATTTGAATTTTAGAAATAGTAATTTTTTTAATATTGGATTTCAAAAACTTACAAATGTTATTCATTTAAACTTTAATATTTTATTTGGCATATATTAGTAGTTATTACAGGAAGTCGCAAATACTGTAACAGAGAAGGACTTCAGAGTAGGCCGTTTATATCCTCGATTAGATCGTATCCGTGAAATGTCTGTAAGAATAGCTATTGCAGTTGGTGAACATGCATATAAGGTTCATTTAAAGCTTTTTACAGATATTATCAGCATTTTATGTTCTAATCAATTGTTAATATCGTTAAGGTGTAACTAGTAAGAGGCAACAATTTCATGAATTTATATTTAATGTTATCATATGGCTGCTATTTCATGCTCACATTTTTATCTTTTTTTTAGTTTTCATTTTTTTAAAAACATTTATCGAACTATTAATTGTAATTATTATGGTTAGCAAAGTTTCTGTAAACGCTAAAAGGCATTAGTAAAATTTCATTATTTATGAAATTTAAATAATAATTTCAGAAAGGCATGGCTGGTCTTTATCCAAAACCAAACAATACAGAGTATTTCGTACGTTCCCAAATCTATCAAACGTCATATGATGAATTGATTAATGTCACTTATGAATGGCCATCTCAAGACATGAAGCATGGCTTTCCGGTGCCAGTTGTACGCCGTGAAAGTGGTGAAGAGTAGATGAAAAAATAAGTCATTCATTAGATTAATCAGTTAAATATTGCTAGTAAACAACATTTTTTCATTCTTTTTCATTGATTGTTATTAAATGACTTGAAATAGTGGTCAGTTAGTAGTTTGTTGAGAAATTAAATATTATTATATTTAGAATTATTCATTCAATGCTAATGATTGTATGTAAAAAAATGATGTGATTGAAAATGCTGTAATTATTTACTTAAGGTCATTATGCATGTAGTACTTTTCACTCCGAATTAGTATACAAATTGTTTAATCTATAAATGTATTATTAATTAAATAATTCTTACTGCTTTCTTGTTTCATTTCATTTTGGAGATCTTAACATATTCAAAATTATAATTCATTTTTAAAATTTTTGTTGCTTTGTTTTTTCTTAGTTAATTATCTGTCTGTCTCTTTTTACGAACCAATGAATGATTATTTTCTAGGTTAGTATATCACTAATGATCTCTGTTGAAACCTGAATTGTTGGTAATCGTTTAAAATAAAGTTTGTTTATACATCAATTCTTCTTTTGCTTTGTTTCTTTTTCTTCTATATTAATTTTAGCTTCATGCTATGCTTTTTTATGATATTAAAAAAAAAAAAAACATTCTAGTAAGTTTTGGTCAAGTTTAAAATCTTATGTGATTAAATAACATAAAGCTAATTCCAATTAATTCTCATAATTTTCAAGTATATAATAGTGTAAGAAAAATTCTGTAATGCCAGAAATATCTGGTTCAAGTGGAAAGTGATTAACACTACAATTAAAAATAATTTAAATGTGTGAATTAAATCTTTTTTCTTTTGAATTTCGTTTAAACTTTTGTTAATTTATTAATTTATCAGTCTGTTAGGATAATACGTGTATGATGCTAGTATTGATAATAATTTTTTGATTTGAATTTATTGATAGATATAGAGGTATTAAGTATTCATTGTATACTTAATTTTAGCAGTAATAAAGATCACAAAAAAATTTGAATTGGTATGTTTTAAATATTCAGAATAACGTACTAAATTAAATAAATTTAGTTGAACAAATTTTTTAATAAATTTATTGAAATGCAAATTAAATTATAACCGTCATCTGTTGCAAATTTGTTAATGTAATTTTGAAGGAAAAATTTTTTTTTTTTTGAATATTACTCTCAAATTTTTATATCAGCGATGGTTGGTTGTTTATCTATTATCGTTGTTAATTTGAAAGAATTCAGCAATATACAAAAAGGAGTTTTGAAATTTTATAATTCTTCTTTATTATGCTATATCTCGTTAATGAATTATTAATGTAGGTACAATCACATTTGTCGCTATCAAAAATGGTATTTTCAAAGATTACTCTAAAACGAAGTATAGTGCCATACCTTAGGTAATAAATTTTTACTTAAAATTTTTCAAAATTAATTTAAAATATATTTGGTTTTTCTTTTTTTCTTGTTCACAATGATTTGAATTAGAGCATAATTTTCTTATGTTTAATACTTTTTTTTGATTGTAAAAAAAGAAAAGCAGAAAAGCACTATTAACGAGATCAGAATTAAAGTTATATCTCAAAGCGGACAGCAAAAAATAAACGGAACGGTATACATCCGTTTACGGATGAACCAATTCCGGAATGGTGTCATACAGCGGATGATATTAACTTATACATGCTATATCGTCAAGAACGTGAAACACCTAAAAAACGTGGAATTGAACTTTTGAAAGATAATCGTACATGTAAGGTATATTATAGTTTCTCCCTTTTTTTTCATTTCAAACTTAATTAATATTTAATAGTAGAAGAAAAAATATAAATAAAAAAGAATTCACATTAAAAATTTTTTTAAAATGAAGAAAAAGCAATTAAAAAAAATTCGCATAGTTTATTATTTTATTGGTTTCATATTAAAATGCAAATTATATTTCTGTATGAAAATTATTTTCTTACTAATGAAATAAATATATTTAAATATATACAAAAAGTTTTATTGTATTTTGATTAGTACAATTATCAATAATTGTTGAAAAAAATATCAATAATAACAGTAATAATAATAAAATGATATTATTTTAATCATTTTAATTATTTCACACAGATTACACATACTTCTTTTATTCACCTAAAAATTGATTATATTTCCCCTAATTTACATTCGTGTCCTGGAAATTATACCATAATTTATTACTCCAAAATTATTTACACTATTAATTCTCCTTAAATTATATTATTATTCATTTATATTAATTTAATTAGTATTTTCAACTTTCCAACCTGTCCACTCATTCATGCAATTATATTTGATTCTTATCAATAATGCATTTTCCTTTTTTTCCATCTTTTAATTTTTCTGAAACGGTCACTTTATATTACATAGTATTGGTTGTAAAATGCAATTTAGTTTTCTTTTCTTAAAAAAACAAAAAAGCAAAAACAAAAGCTGAAAGTTAGTAATTGCTAAAGGGAATGGCATTTACATTATACGAGCGGCAATATTTCGGAATCCATGGTTTATTACCGCCCGCGTTTATGACTGAGAGTCAACAAGCATACCGAGTTATCACCAACCTTCGACAACAACCTGATGACTTAGCTCGATACATTCAGTTAGATAGTTTACAGGTTGGAAAAAAAGATACAAAAGTAGTGGTATATTTTTATGGTCGTTGAGTTAATTAATTTTTTTAAATTAAAAAATTAAATTCTGTTAAATAATGCTCGTTTATGATTAGATCACTAACATTACCGCTAGCATCTTTATGCGTGATATTAATGCAAATTAAATTTTCTGAAGGATCGTGATGAGAAATTATATTATCGAGTACTATGCGATCACGTAAAAGAACTTCTTCCCATTGTTTATACGCCAACTGTTGGTCTAGCATGCCAAAAATTTGGTTTTATTTATCGAAAACCAAAGTAATAAAATTTTAATCAAAAATTTTTTCAAAATTATTAATTATAAAAATAGCATTTAATATGTTAGCATTTCTTTCTTATGTCTTTTGATGTAAGCTAAAAGACAAATCGGATAATATTATTTGATTTCTTTATTTGTCCTTCAGCATTTATATTTTATTAATTAAAAAAGAATTTGATGAATGTTTTAAAGAATACAAAATGATAAATATAATAAAAATTTTTTCAGTGTTAATTACTTCATTCAGAAGCAGTTTGAACAAAAATCAAAATTTATTTTTTATAAAACATTGAAATGATATATATATATATTTTGCAGAGGTTTATACATAACAATAAATGATAATAGCATTAGCAAAATTTATCATATTCTTTCAAATTGGCCTGAAATAGATATTCGTGTTAGTGGTACTTTATTTCATTTATGAAAATATCGAATTATATTTCAAATATAAAATTTCTCCTAGGGCAAATTTATATTTGAAGTAATTTTACAACACATATCATATATTAACATCAATTATAACATTATTTTAAATCGCTCTATGCAATAATAATGGTAATTAATTTCATTAAAATTACTTACATTCTTTTCTATTAATATTTGAAATTTAAAACTGAAATTTATCTTTAATTTTCCACTGAATGATATTTTCATAAGTATAACAATCGACAATAGTTGTGCTAATTTTTTTGATTTATCACTAAGACCTCAAAGTTTTATTCAAAAAAAGGATTGAAAATTTTCACTTTTTTTACCTATTTAATTCTCTATAAGCAATTAATTAAATTCGTTAATTAATTAAATATTTTGTTTATACCTTTATGATATTTGCATTCATATTTTTCTTTTATTTCATGGGCTATTTAATTATATTTATATATTTTAGGTAATTGTTGTGACAGATGGTGAACGAATTCTTGGCTTAGGTGACCTGGGTTGCTATGGTATGGGTATACCTGTGGGTAAATTATCGCTTTATGTTGCCCTTGCTGGTGTGCAACCAAAATGGTGTTTACCTGTTGTATTGGATGTTGGAACAGATAATGAAGCAAAGTTTTTAATTTATTTTCTTTATTTTTTTTTTGGTTTCCTAAAATTAAATTTAACATTACTTCTTTGAAAACTTTAGAATATTTCAACATTTTAATTTAAAATAAAATTAAATTTTTAAATGAAAAATTCTTTTTAACCTTACAGAAAATAAATTGCACATAATTCTTATTTATGTTGTTGGAAATAAAAATTTCTTACTAATTCACACACAGTCACAATGTTCTGTCACATAATTTGTTTACTGTTTAAATTAAACTTTTTATCATTGATATATTTTTTAACTAAAATTATTTAACAGAAAAAATTTTTTTAATTTTACATTATTTTTTGCTGCAATTTCAATATTTTCTCATTCTTTTTTCCATCACTGCAATAAAATATTCTTTGTTTTTAAAATAAAATATTTACAGATATTATTATTAATTAATTATTAATATGTTTTAATTATTATTATTTTTAAAAAGTCATGTTAAATTTTTTTTTTAAAAAAAAAAATTTTTTTTTAATAATTTAATAAAAGTGATTAATTTTTCTTAAGAAATATATTTATTTGCTTATTTTTGTTGTTCTTTTGTTTTTTATTATTTATTTATTTTTTGCAGACTTTACTAAAAGATCCATTTTATATCGGATTACGTCGAAAACGAATACGTGGCGAGAAATATCATCATTTTATTGATAACTTTATGAAAGCATGCACAAAAAAGTCTTTCATCTTTTTAATTTTAAATTTTTAAATTTATTTCAAATGAAGGGAAAGTGTACTGCCTGGAAAAGCCTTAAGTTTCCAATTATATATTTCAGATGAAAATGCATAACTTTCATTGATTACTTACTTTATACTTTATAAGTAAATATGTCATAAATGAAAAGTTATGAAAAATTATCATTTATGCAAAATATTTTAACAAAAGTAAGAAGAGGAAGAGAGAGTAAGAGAGGGAGAGAGAGGGAGAAAAGCACAGAAAGGGAAAGATATCGAATTTCTTGTTATAATTTATTCTTAATTGGTTATCAAATACCAGATATTATGATTTTGATAAAGGAAATAATTATCATTTTTAGTTTTTTAATTAAGCTCTAATACTGATCAATTTGAATATTTGTGATTTACAATAATGCATTGATTTAAGAGAAAAATAAATTTGCTTAACAATTTTAATTTTTGCTAAATAGATCAGAAGAAAAAAGAAGAAAACTGTAAATGATACAAAAGATTTTTTTTTTTTTTTTGCAATACTGAAATAAATACATTTAATGATACAAATATTTTTTATTGACAGCCAAATAAATATTATAAACTTTCCTTTTAATTTATCAAATTTAATATCACCAATTTAAATTATTTGTTTATTTATTCTTATATAATTTGTTATTTTGATATATATTAGATTTACAATCTAAGTAAATATGTCATGTCTTGATTAATGTTATATCAGTATTAGATTGCTAATAGAATTAAAATGTAAAATTTTTTTTTCTTTTCTCCTTCTTTTGCCTTTTCCATTTTCATTTCTTATTTTTTTTTTTCATTTTATTTTTTTAATTTCATCTTACTTGACAATAAAATCTTTTTTTAGATTTGGACAAAATTTACTAATTCAATTTGAGGATTTTGCAAGACGAAATGCTTATTATCTTTTGGAACGATATCGAAATCAATTTTGTGTTTTTAACGATGATATACAAGGTTTCTTAATAGTGATAATAATAATGATAATAATAATTATCATTATTATAAAATAATGTCGAGCATTTTTCTTTTGCACATTTATTATTGATATGGAAGATCAGTTTTTATACCATTTTTATAATAAATATATTTATTTATTCATTTATTTATTTATTTGGGATTTATTTCACTTATTTCATAAATGATTTATATTTGTGACGTACAACACGTAGTCCATCTATTTCATATATTTATAAACAATATATCATCTAACATTTTTTTTTTTTTCAGTTGTTGTGATTTGAAACAAAAATTTAAAATCGTATCGGATTTTTTGTTTTGTTTTCTTTAGGTACAGCTTCTGTAGCATTAGCTGGACTTTTAGCATGTCATAAACATACCGGAAGACGGTTATCTGCTGAAAAAATAGTCTTTTTTGGTGCCGGATCTGTGAGTTTTTTTTTTTTTTTTTCTTCTCTTAAATAATATATCAAAAAATTGAAATTTTTCAGCTAAACTTTTTATTATATTGTAAAGTCTAATTAATGAAATTTTGTTGTAAACTAAACTTTCCACGAAATTTTCACAAAATTACTACCTATCATTCTTATTCTTTATTCGAAAACTGTTATTATTATTATTTTAGGCTGCAATGGGAATTGCAGAAATGTGTGCTGCACAAATGGAAAGAGAAGGTATTACACGGAATGACGCATATTCACGTATTTACTTAATGGACAGTAAAGGTTTAATTACGCAAAATCGTTTGCACATGGAAGAGGAACATAAACCGTATGCTAAAGCTATGCCGGAAACAGAAAATTTACTTCAGGTTATTAATAATTTTGCAAAAACAAATGTTATGAAAATTTTTTGGGATGCTGAAAAAATTATTTCAATTATTTATTGCAATATTGAAATGTTTTTTAAAAAATTTACTTAGGATTTTTGATATTTTTTACAAAAAAGTGTTAGCAAAAAAATTCTTTTTTCTTTATGAATATCTAAAAAAGTAAAATTAAAATTAAAACATTTCAGTGCATTTATGCAAACAATTGAAAAATTATTTTTCAAAAGAATAAAAAAAGTAGAAAAAATTAATTAAAACTATAATTCATTATAATATTTTCAAAAATTTTTTTCTTAATCGCAAATACGAACTATTATTTTTCTTTTTTCTCAAAGAAATTATTTAGTTAATTAAAATTATCCAACCAACTGTACTAATTGGCACATCAACAGTGCAAGGTGCTTTCAATGAAGCAATCATTCGTCAAATGGCAGAATTAAATTTAAAACCGATCATTTTTGCCTTATCAAATCCAACAAAAAATGCTGAATGTACTGCAGAACAAGCAATTCATTGGACAAATGTATGCCTTTTTTCTTTATTTTAAATAATATTTAAAAGAATTTTGTTTTTTAAATTGAATTTGCACCTTTTTTTAATTAATAAAAAATATAGTATAATAATTGATATCTTTTCTTTATTCTTTTTTGTTTTTTTCTTCTTTTTGTTAGGGTAAAGTATTATTTGCAAGTGGAAGTCCATTCGAAAATGTGAGCTACAAGGGAAAATTATATAAGCCTGGGCAAGGTAATAATTCATATATATTTCCCGGTGTGGGTATGGCAGCTATTTTATTTCGAATTCGACACATTGACAATGAAATATTTCTAATAGCTGCACAGGTTTGTTTACTTGCTTTTATTATCTATTCTCATCTTTTTTTTATTTTTTTATCAAATATGATAGAAACATTTATTGTGATAAAATTTTAAACTTTCTATTTAACATAAAATGTTGACTAATCTTATCGGGTATAATAATTATAACTATTAAACAATTAAAATTTTATTATTCATTTGAGTAATTTCATATTCTAGTCTGAGATAGTATTTTGATATTTTATTATCGTAATATCATAATTGTAGGAAGTAGCCAAATGTGTCAATGACGATGATTTTAAACATAAACGTTTATATCCAAGTTTTAATCATATTCGAGAAGTTTCAATAAAAATAATTTTGGCTATTGGAAAGTATAGCTATGAAGTAAGCTAATAAATACTTTTCAAGTATTATCAACTGAAAAAATAGAAATGATTAGATTTAAGAATAAAGTTATTTTGATTTCTTCTTTTTTTTAGTCTTTTTGATGAAAGTAATCAGCCAATTACATAAAACATCAAAAATAACTTTTTTAATTTAGTAATCTATTTAATATTTTCCAATTCGAAATTCATAAATTATTTAAAACAATTTTAACTTTTCGATGGCTTAATTTATGATAATAGCATTGTTAAATGATTGTAATTAAACCCTTTTGTTAATTTAAGCATAACAATGATGGTTTTAACTTTATTTGAAGTAGCATAACATATGGTTTAATCAAATCATTGTGATTTAAAACATACAGAAAAAGTTGGCAGCGCTTTATCCCAAACCAACAAATATGGAAAATTTTGTGCGTAGTCAAATGTACCAAACAGCATACAATGAAATGATTGATTACACATACGATTGGCCAGAAGATGATATGGTCCAAGGCTACCCTATCCCATGTGAAGAAAAATATGATGATTAGTTTTATTTAAAAAAAAAAGATGAACAAAGTGTGATATATCCGAATTATTCATTTTTCATTTTAATTTCAGTTTTCAAAAACTTTTGATGAAATTATATAAATTTAATTTATTGCTTTCTACCTATTCTTGTTTCCTTGTCCTTTATCAAATTTGCTTTATCGAGCTATTATTTATTATGAAAATATGATTAATTTAATTAGGATTTAGCATGATATTTATTTGATTTAGAAATATTAATTTAGATCATTTCAAATTAGAATAATTAACAGCAAATTGTACTATCAGCAAAAACGACTCATTTATTGAATTATGTTAAGAAACTTAATTTATAATTTATTAATTAATTGATATTTATTTCTCTCAGTTTTATTCTTTCATTTTTAATTTTTTTATGAGATACATAAGAAAAAAGAACATTGAGATGTAGAAGATTAAATAGAAAAGCAAAAGAAGGAGAAAATAAATTTTCTATCATTAATATCGTTTTATTCATTTGATTCATTTGATAAGAACAATGTAAATGTTCAGTAATTGTATATAAATTAGTATACATATACACATTCAAATGCTTATATTTGAATTGTTTGTATCTAAACTTATGTCATAGACAGAAATACAAATTAATTAATTAATGATTAGCAGATGGAAATGTGATTGATAATATTTGGCAATTCAGCAAATTTTGAAAATAATATTTAATTTAGTAATTCAGCAATAAGCGATTTGTTCTTTTTGCTTTTTTTCTACATTAAACTTATTATTAGTGTGAAAAGAAAGAACAAAGATAGAAGGAAGTTATTTAGTTATTTGTCCTTCGTTTCATTTTTTTAAAGAAAAAAGTGAGAAATGTTATTTGTAATGATATTTGTTATACTATTAATATTCATTGCTCTTTTTTCTTCTCATTTTTCTTCATTTCAATCTATTTCATGCTTTTATCACTGTCATCATTATCATTATCAATCGTAATCGCTGTCATCATCGTTATCAATGTACGAGCATCATTTAATCATTTAACATCATTTGTTATCATTATTATCGTCAACAGTGCACTAATAATATTTCGTTCTTTTCAACATCAGTTGTAATCGTTATCATCGTTATCAATGTAGAAACATCTCCTAACAACGCTTTTTATCACTATCTCCGTCAATAGCTCAATAATATTATTTTGCTATTTTCAATACCAATACCAATACTACTATTTCCAATATCAATCGTAATCATTATCAGTGTAGATTAAGTGATATCTGTTATCATTATCATTATTATCAATGCATTAATAATATTTAAGCTCATTTTGTAAAGAATATTTAAATATGAAGAAAAAATATGATAAGTGAAATTTTTTTAATTTTTTTAAAGCAAAAACAAATAATTGCAGAATTATTCTTTATTATTAATTATATAATCCTTAATTAGAACTCCATTACAGCAGCATTTCTTTTAATTTATCATAAAAATTGAGTGGATGACGAATAAATGAAAAAAAAAGAGGAAAGCATAGTGTTTCATTTTATATGTGTTAAAAAAATAAATAAATGGGAAACGAATCATATGAATTTATTCATTTCATATTTTCTTCATTTATTGATCATACAACATTTTTTATATGAGTTTTCAAGATTACTTTAAATAGTTTTTCTCATAAATTTTTGTATTCAACGAAATTATCATATTTTATTATTACTTTACACATAATTATATTAAAAATAATTTTTCAAATTAAAAAAAAAAAAAATAAATTTATGATTTGCAGGATACTAATAATACGCCATCAACGATAATGCATTTACTTTGGTATTCAAACAATATATTTAGCATTGTACGACGCAATACATTACAGTTTGTGTTAACTAAAAATATATCAGAAATAAAAAAGAAAGAAAAATTAAATTCTTAGGATTTAATTTAAATAAGAAAATAAAATTAATTAAAATTAAATATGGGAAGAGAAGAAAACAAAAAGGAAGCTGAAATAAAAAATATTTTAATATTGATTGAGTAAGCAATAATAGGTTTCATTTTCATAATTTCCATAAAATTTTTTTTTAAAAAAATCAGCTTTCAATTTCAAAATTCATTTGAGTATTATTACCTAATTTTTCTTTTCTTTTTTTAACCATTTCTTCTATCTATTATTTTTTTTAACCTTTCCTTCTTTATATTAAGAAAATTCCGCTTTGCAGCATTGCTCGAATATTTTCAACAACATCAGTAATACCTGATAAGGTAGATGTCACATCAATGACTGATAAGGATTTGGAATTATATAAATTATATCGACCAGAAAGAGTAATACCGCCGATGCGTGGTATCGATTTAATTAAATCATCACGTTACAGTAAGGTAAGAAAAGTGAAATTTCTTGAAATGCTAAAATTTAAAAAAGAAAAATTAATTTTCTTTAATTAATTAATTACTTACATTTATCTCATCCCATCAATTAACAATTTAAAAAACAAAGGGAAAAAACTTACTCCAGTATTATTGATCGGTTTAAACGGATTACTTATATTATTCTTATAAATAACGAAAAGGCATAAAGTAGAATTTGCTAAATACTAAATTTATTATTTCTAATTTATGCACACTTTATTTCTCTTTACTTTTTTTCGTTTTTTTTTATTCTATTTCTTTCTTTTTGTACTAAAAGAAACCTATGAAAACATGGAATAATTCAAATTTATACTAAAAAATTTTAGGGTATGGCATTTAATTTATATGAGCGGCAATATCTCGGCATCCATGGTTTATTACCGCCAGCGTTTATGACTGAAGAGCAGCAAGCATATCGAATTATCTCGAAACTTCGAGAACAGCCAAATGATTTAGCTCGTTATGTACAATTAGATGGTTTACAAGTATTACTTAATCATTCATTTACTTTTGAATATTCAAATAAAAGTATATTTTTTGGAAGAGTAAATATAATTTAAAAAAAAAGTCTCAAAGAAAGAAAATTTCTTTCGTTATATTTTGTTATAGTTATAAATTCAATATCAAAATATTTTATAAAATGCTTCTTAGCATCATAAATCTGATAAAATTTTATCTTGTACACTTATCATAGCAATATAATCTATCTCTTTCTCTTTCATTCTCTCTCTCTCTTTTGTTCTTTCTCCTATTCTTTTATATTAACAAAATTTAAAAAAAAGGCTTATCTAATTTTAATGACAGTAATGAAAGTGAAAAGTATACTGAAGTTAAATTTTAATAATTTTTTATGGTGATGTTAACTTAATCTTTTCTTGATATGTTAAAAGCAGTTCCAAAAATTAAACAAATAACTTATAGTTGTAATTAATATCAAAATGAGAAGCATTAAATTTGAATTTTAATAATTAAATTTTAATCCTATTAATTCCTTCTTTTTCAAGGAAAAACAAAAAAAAGTTGCAAAAAATTTCATTCAACTGATAATGATAATGAAAATGGAAAGGACTAAAATTATGTTTTTAATAATTCATTGTAAAAAATTAAATTCTAATTAATATTAGTTTATTTCTTTGATTTCAAAATAATTCATCTAAATTAATGATAATGAAACAATTTTTTTAAAATTGATATTAGTTTATTTTGAAATAATCTATATTAAAAATAAATAAATAATAATAATGGATTGAAAAAAGTGAAATCAAAAAACAAATAAGTTTATTTTAAAAAGAAATAATTGCAATATATTTTTAGGATCGTAACGAAAAGCTATTCTATCGTGTTGTTTGTGAACATGTCAAAGAGTTAATGCCAATTGTTTATACACCAACTGTTGGCCTTGCATGTCAAAATTTCGGTTATATTTATCGTCATCCAAAGTATTTTCAATTTTTTGTTTTGCTTTTTTCTTTCGTTGTTATTATTTCAAAAAAAAAAAAAATGAATAAAAGAAAAAAAAAAGTAAAAGAAGAAATGAAAATTTTTTATGGAAAAAAACAAAGTAATAATTTGAAAAAATTGTAAAAATTATGCTAAATTAACTTTTTCATATTTATATATTAATTATAATATATAAATTAGCAAAAATAAAAAGAAACATCGATTAAAAATTGATTATTAATTTCGTTTTCATTTTTTACAGAGGTATTTATGTTACTATTAATGATAACAGTATCAGTAAAATCCACCACATTCTTAGTAATTGGCCAGAAAAAGATGTTCGGGTAAGGGTTTTTTTCTTTTTTTTTTCTTCATCATATTAAAATTTCAAATTTTTACATTAATGAATTATTTATTTATTTTCTTTTTTTTAATAATTTGTGAATGTTTTCTATAAAATTTAATTTTTTAAAAAAAAAGTGAAAAAAAGATTTTAAATTTGATAAGTAATGAATGAATGAGAAATGATTGATACAATTTTTTCTTTAAATAGCTATAACACTGCATAACTTTCAGGCAATAGTTGTGACAGATGGGGAGAGAATCCTTGGGTTGGGGGACCTGGGCACATACGGCATGGGTATTCCGGTAGGTAAACTTGCCCTGTACGTGGCACTTGGCGGTGTGCAACCGCGCTGGTGTCTTCCGGTATTGCTTGATGTTGGCACAAATAAGGAAGTATGTATAATTTGGTATTAAATTTCATTTTTTGTATTAAAAAGAAAAAATTAAATTTCAATTTTAACATTTAATTTTTGATACCATTAATTTTAGTTAGCAAATAAATGAATGATAAAATTGGAAATTGTAAATAAATTAGAAAGTTTTTGCTTATAATTTTTTTTAAAGGAACTTTTACAAGATCCATTCTATATTGGTTTACGTCGAAAACGTGTCCGTGGGAAGGAATACGATTCATTCATCGAAAATTTTATGAAAGCATGCGCTAAACGGTAATTAAATTAAACATTTAACAAAGTTTTAAACTACACAGACTATTAGTTTGGAATTTAAATGGTTCAAAGGATTTAAATTTAATGTTATAGGCATATTATCAATATTAAATTTATTTATTTACCTTAGGTTTTCATGTTAAACTGATAATAAAACTGATATTTCACAAATTATAGTAAATTAATGATAATAATTAATAATTATTTATAACTAGTAATAATCAGTAACAATAATAATAGTAATAACAGTAATAATAATAATAATTTTAGATTTGGACAGAAAGTTTTGATACAATTTGAAGATTTTGCTAATGCAAATGCATACCGTTTATTGGAGAAATTTCGTGATAAATATTGTACATTTAATGATGATATACAAGGTAAACATTTGCTATAATATTGTCATATTTTGTTTGCTAGTAATTAAATACATAAAATTAATTAATTAATTTCATTAATAGTAATGAAATGATGGTATATTAAATATACAATTAACAATTAAATATATTTTTGAAATTAACCGATCGAATGGATCGATGAGCACTATTTGCTGTAAAATGAAACAGTTAGTGTACTGTTGCATAAAATATTATAAAACATTCCTTTATTTCTCTTCTAATTTCGATTTTTCAATAATTGAAATAACAGTTTTGGATTTTTTTTTTTGTAACAATTAAATTTAATTTGACTTTTTAATAATTAATTTAATAGTTCACAACGATTTAATTAGGATTTTCAATAATTAAATTATTAGTTCTCATCGGTTTAATCCATCACATTTCTTTTGGACTATGAAATTTTGAAATTTAAATGATATATTTGATTATAGGAACAGCATCTGTTGTTGTTGCTGGCTTATTATCATGTAACAAAATTCTACACAAAAAGATGTCGGAACAAACGTTTGTGTTTTTGGGCGCTGGAGCGGTTTGTAACTTTAATTTGAAACAGAAAAAAGAAGCATAAATTCGCTTTTTGTTTGTTTAATTTATAGGAATAACTTTCCATTTTAATCATTTTTAAACTGCTAATCTATTTTTATAATATTTTATCAATTATTTTCTTTGTTTTTATTTCATTTTTAAAAGATAACAATTAATAATGATTTTAAAAATTCATCTAAAAGATATCGGAAAATTGAAAACGAAAACTGTGAAATAATATTGGATGAATAAATAAAATTTTTTGCATATAGCAATAAAAAAATAAATGAAGAGATTAAAAATTGGAAAAAAATTTTTTCTTCTTTTCAGGCAGCGACAGGTATTGCTGACTTATGTGTATTACAAATGCAGCACGAAGGATTAGGTGAAATTGAAGCACATGAAAGGATTTATTTAATGAATAGTAAAGGTTTAATAACAAGAAGTAGTCCAAATTTAAAAGATGAACATCAATTATATGCGAAGGATATGGAAAGTATTAAAGATTTAATCGATGTAAGTTATTTTATTTCTTAGTAAATTTTCTTTTTTTCTTCAAATCTAATATTATTTATTACAAATGAATTTAGGAAAAAAGAACGCAATTGTTTATTGTTAAAAGATTTAGAAGAAGGAAAATGGAAAGAGTGTTTTTTTGAATAATTTTAAAATGTTATCGAAATTAAAAATCAGAAAATAGTGGAAGAGATAAAAGCATAAGTTATGTATTTACTGCATGATATTTTTACAGGTAATCAAAAAAGTACAACCAACAGGTATAATTGGTGTTTCAACCGTATCAGGCTCATTTTCGGAAGAAATAATTAAAGAAATGTCAAAGATTAACGAACATCCAATTATTTTTGCTTTGTCCAATCCCACAAATAAATCGGAATGTACTGCTGAAGAAGCATTTACACATACAAATGTTTGTTTTATTAAGAAAATTTGAGAAATTTGCAATTCTTTTTTACTTATTTTTAAAGTAAAAGAAATTAATAACTTTCATTTTATTAGCAAATAACAATAGTTTATGAATGATAACAATAACATTAATAATAATAATACAAGTAGTAGTTAATATTGATTATTAGCAGTGACAATAATAATTAGTTTTGTCATCCATTTGATTTTGCTTTCATTTTTAGATAATGCAAATGTTTACATTATTTTTAAAGGATATTCTTTTTTTTTTTATTTATTTTTTGAATTTAAATTTCAGGGTAAGGTACTATTTGCTAGTGGTAGCCCATTTCCGGATCTCCGATTAAACGGTAAATTATACAAACCAGGTCAGGGCAATAACTCATACGTATTTCCTGGTGTAGCTTTGGGTGTTATATTATTTCAAGTACGCCATATCGATGATGAATTATTCTTGATTGCTGCTCGGGTAAATTCTTGATTACTGCTCGGCTTGGGTAAATTGCGGGTAAATGATGAATTATTCTTGATTGCTACTCGGTATTTGTATTTATTTGTAACCGTAAATTATTATTGTTAAAGATTAAAATTAATTAATAAGGTAGAGATGGATAAGATATATTGTGGAATTTTTATTTTTATTTTTTTATTTTTTGTTTTGTTCCTCAAACTGATAATGAGAGATTTTAAGCAAATAGCAGATATGGTAACAGCAAAAGATATTAAATTTGGTCGAATTTATCCAAATTTGAAATATATTCGTGAATGTTCGATCAAAATAGCATTGGCTATTGCAAAGCATTGCTATGCGGTATTTTTACATTAAATTTTAAATTTATATAATTATGTTAGTGAATATTTCAATAGAATTATTAAATGAATTTTATTGAATTTGAAAGCTTTTTTGACTTAGTGGAAAAGGTAAATATTTTATCATTGGATGGTATGATACAATGTGAATTTCATTAAAACAATTGATCATAAAATTATCAACTAAGATTCTTATCAAGCATTTGAGGAAATAATTGAAATTAATTATTATTAAGATGCTTATCACTTTGCATCTAATTAAGTAATTATTTTATAGCAATCAATTGCATTGCTTCTGTGAGAATAATTTCAATATTTTATAGAATGGAACAGCTGCATTATATCCGGAACCGGAAGATTTAGAAAAATATATCCGTTCGCAGATTTATTCGGTAGAATATGATGAGCTCATTGATGTAACATATGAATGGCCTCAAGAGGATATGAAACATGGATTTCCGGTTCCGGTTGCAAGACGTGAATCAGTTGAAGAGTAACGGTAGCAACGGTATATTCTACATATGATCTGTTGCTTGACTGATAATGTAATCAATTATCATTTAGTTTATTAATTTTACTGATTGAATAAAAGATACATTTTTCTGAAATTATTATTTTGTTTAATTTTTTTTTTTTAGATTAGTCCATTTTTATATTATCAAAAAAAGAAATAAAAAAAAAAAACCCTTTTCTTGCACAAAAACATAAATTTTAGAATGGTTTCAGAAGAGAAAAAGATAATTTTAGATAAATTATGCTTTTTCTTCAAAATGAAACAAATCCAATTCATAATTTTCAAGTTTTCATTCCTTTTTATTTATTGATTTTTTTTTTTTAAAAAGGACGAAAAATTCAAATGAAAAATTATGGTCAAAATTTCATGAATTTTTAATTTCATTTTCTTTCTTTTCTTCTCGAAATACATAGTAATATTTTTCAGAATCAGAATAGAATATGATATGTTAAGTTAAATTTATTAGCTTATATTTTTGTGAGAAGAAAAATTTGTTATTGTAAATTTACACCAATTTGTAAAATCATAATACTCTGTAAGTAAATTTAAGTAAGTAATTAAGGAGTCAAAGATGACGAATAAATTGACATAATATGTGTCACTTGAAATAATATCATTCAAATCACTAATTGATAATAGTATATTTGTACAATTCTTTAATAAATTATAATTTATAAATTTATATTGGATAAATTTATTTAATACTTCATTTCAATTTACCAATACAACAACTGAAATTTTTCATTTTAAAATCTATAAAATTTGAGAAATATTAGATCTGTAATTAAATTACTTAAATTAATATTAAATCCCGAATAAGTTAGAATAAATAATACAACATTTGCTCATATGCTACAATTATTACATGTTTATATAATTTTGTGAATAAACAATAATTCTTCCTGGTCAAATCTCACTGGAAAATATAGCAGTAATACATAAAATGTAATATATTTAAAATGCAGCATTTAATTTCCAATAATGGAAGAATGTCAAAAGATGAAGAAGAAATTATTCACTTCCTTTATTATTCCATTAAACAATATAAAATTAAACTTAATATGGAAAGTGTGTGAAAGCTGAATCCAAATATAATAGTAAATGGCCTAGACAAGTCTCAACTAACTAGGCTCATTGTTGCATCACACCTTGGCCACCATCTTTTCTATTCTTTTTTTGAAGAAAACGAAAGGGAGAATTTCAATAACAAAATGATAAATGATACAGTGAGACAGATTATTTCATTTCGATCCTGCCCTGGCACCACTTGATGGTTACGTGATGGATAGACGTGATGAATTCCAGGGATTGACGTGGCTGATTCCGTGGGTTGACGTGATGGAGTTGATTGGTTAAACGTATATATGTATTTATAAAGAATTTATAGTATATATAAAGTATATGTATATATAAAGTAAAATTTGTGGATGTTAAGAAAATTTTCAAATTACTGGGAAATTAATTCGGACAGAAAGTAAAGGAAAATATTACATATTAGTAATCTTTTTTGTTATATAACAGTAATATTTTGATGCTTATCTTTTATGATATCAGCTAAAATAAAAGCAGAAGAATAGATATAAGTATAAAAGAATAAATATAACTGTGAGGAGAAAAGTGCAAGTGAAACATATTTACATTTTGCTTTCTATTTTCCCTTTTTTCTTTGCAGAAATTGGTGATGTATTCGTGATGAATAAATTATGGTCGAATACTGCATATTACATCTGGGCCACTTCATGTTTGCGTGTGCATATACGTCGTTTATCGGCACAACAGATTCGTTTATCTTTTTTAGAGTACTTCAAAGAACATAATCATACATATGTGCCTTCTTCATCTGTTATTCCAGAAGATGATAGCTCCGTTACATTTGTTAATGCGGGGATGAATCAGGTATATACTTTAAATTTTTCTTGAAAAAATGCCTACTTAACTTTTATAAAGCATTTCGGAAATGCTTAAATACTGTTCCATATTTTCAAAATGAGGAGTTTTCAAAAAAAAAAAAAAAGTATGTGTATACATATTTCCATTTTAGTTCAAGCCACTTTTTCTGGGTGCTAAATATACAGAAGGCAAATTGGCCGCTTTACGTAATGTTGTTAACTGGCAAAAGTGTATTCGTATTGGTGGAAAGCATAATGATTTCGACGATGTTGGCCGTGATTTGACACATCATACATTTTTCGAAATGCTTGGAAACTATTCATTTGGTGGCTACTCAAAGGTTTTGAATTTTGAATTCTAATTTTTATTTTGTTTCTATTAAAGGTATTGAAATAATTCCACGTTTGTAATTTTTTATAATATTAGTAGGCTTGAAATGTAGTAGTATACAACTAGAAACTGTTGTACTCATTGTACTTAATTGCGGTTTTTATTTGTTCGAGCTGAAGGAATGAACTGATGCTAGATGATTAGGAAGCATATATAATCAGGATTGCATGTTAATAGCTCACCAAATTTCCTCGTTTCAGATGGAAGCATGTTTATATGCATGGAACTTCCTCACAGACGTCCTCAAGATACCAGCTGATCGCTTATATATTACCTATTTCGGTGGGGATGAAAGCATGAAGTTAAAGGAAGATCGTGAATGCCGCGATATTTGGATTAAATTAGGGTATAGTTAGAAATTTTGTTTCGAAAAAACAATCGTATCTACATGGTTTATCTTTTGCAGTGTCCCTGAAGATCGTGTTCTTGGCTTTTGTTCCAATCATAATTTCTGGGAGATGGCTCAGACGGGTCCATGTGGTCCTTGTTCGGAAATTCATTATGATCTTATTGGTAATCGAAAGGCACAGAAACTTGTTAATTCAAGTAATCCAACAGTAGTCGAAATTTGGAATCTTGTTTTTATGCAGTTCAGTAGGTAGTATTTTCAAGATTCTGTTACTTTCATTATTAATATTCGAAGAAATTTTAGCATTACTGGAAAGTTTCAAAATTTTTTCTTGTTGGAATTTAAAAAAATTAGAAAGCATGAGCAAAAAGCAGTGAATAAGATACCGTATTAGTCCAGAACAGTTTATCACAGGGATATATCAGGCAAAATCAGTAGTTTACCAACGTTGTACATAGATTGCGGAATGGGTTTCGAACGATTAGTGAGTATTGTCCAAGGATTACACTCTGCCTATGATACCGACTTATTTCTTCCATTAATGAGAATTATTCACGAGGTTGGTTTTTCGGATTTTAGAGTTTCAGTTCACTTTTAAAAGTTTTTAAATTTTATCTTTGCTTGAAGTCTTGTACACTAGTGATCTTATTTTTTCGTTGAATTCCAAATTTCTAGTATTCGAAAGTTAGAGGATATGGTGGACAACTGGGGGATATCGACACAGCATATCGAATTGTGGCGGATCATCTTCGTGCTGCTTGTATTATGATTTCAGACGGTGTCGAACCTAGTTCACGAAATCGAGGGTTCGTTTTGCTTAGGTTGCTTCTTAGGGTGTATTTCCTTAATGGTGAAGTGTCAATATTTTATTTCTGTTTATTGTTTCTATCCAATATTTAATACCGACAAGTTGAATAAGAGGTGTCCTCGTTAATTTTGTCATATATTTATTTCTCTTTCTATTTGTGATATGCGCTATTCCTGTACACATTTTCACAATTCTTTGGCCTTTTGTTGGCAACAGTCAATTCCAAGTTTCGAAATATTTCTATAATTATTAGTTGAACTCTTATGGTATCCTTTTTTTCATACAGTATCTCTTATAGTTTTCTTTCGTATAGTACTTTCTCTCAGGTATCATCTTCGACGGGTTTTGCGACGTGCTGCATTGAATTTTACCCTCACGCTTGGTGCAGAACGCGGGATGTTAGCATCTTTAGTGCCTGATTTTGTTAATCATATAGTAAGTTCAGTCATATAATTAAGTTATTCAAGTGAATAAAATGAATAATTTTTGATGGACTTTCAAAAAATTTTTTTTCCGTTCACGTTCAGACTTTACTGTACAACAATGTCGCAGCTTGTGAAACTGTAATAGCTAAAACGGTTATGTCTGAGGAACAGTTGTTTTGGAGAAGTTATGACAAAGGCTGTAAATTACTTGAGCATAATATTGCATCTCAGCAACATGTGCTGTCAGGTATCGTTGTTCTTTTCGACTTCTCGATAGTTTTTGTCTCGAAAAGTTATTTGGCCGGATTTAATTAATTGACTACTGTGCATTAAATAACCTAGAAAGGTTTAATGACAAACTGTAAATTTAAGTTGCCGTTAGACGTGCTGCATTACATTGAATTTTACCCTTAGATGGTACATTGTCATCCCATTCACATATTTTGTTTTTCCAAAAACAAATGTGATAATATATTTTCATTATGAACCAGTTTACTGTTTATTTAGGAGAAATTGCGTGGATGTTGTCAGGAACTTACGGTCTTCCATTGTCAATAACCCAAAAGATATGTAGAGAAAAAGGGTTGAAAGTTGATGTAGATGGCTTCCAACAATGTCTGGCTAATTTTCAAGTAATTTTTCAGTTATGTTGTGTATTAGGTGATAATTTTGCTATTTGCCCTCTTTTATAATCACTCTATTGGGAATTGGGAATTAAGAGAAGAAACATAAAAGTAGTTATATTTCGGAAAGCTTAGCGCATATGAGCGACGCTTATGTTTATTGTTTATATTCCACTGTCAGCTGGGACTTCTAACGTTGATAATTTTTATAAAATAGTATATCTCTAAGAAAATATTCTTAAACACGCTGCCAATAAATTGTATCTTTTTGTTAATGGAAAGAAGTTTTAGAAAGCTCAAAAAGCTGAAGAGGAGCTTTGGCAAAAAATCGATTTAGAAGAAATGATACTGAATGGTGTAGAGCCAACGAATGATTCAGAAAAATATTGTTGTGAACGGATTGAATTGGGCAAGTATGGTGGGTAGCTTTTGCTTTTTGATCAATCTAAACAAACTTATATTGTGTGAAATCGATGTAGAACAAACTTAGATTATCGA